CATCCTCCCCCTCTCCCCCCTCCCTCAACCCCCCTCCGCCCACTCCCCAACTGCAGCAACATCGTTAAGAGCAGCAGCATCGAGCTTGCCCGATCTTTGGGAGATTCCTAAGCTAGTGTTTCAGGAAATTTTCGGACAAAAAAGAAGGATCTTATGCCAGTGCCTCAAATTCAACTCCACATAGGGATAGCCACGTACAAACAGCAGCACGGCATCATGGCATGCCCTTGGGTCATTCATTTTTCAAGGCTCAGATACAACTCGAAGCCTGAGGCCAAGTACAAACAGAAGCAGCACCATGGCCTTGCAATACAGGAGCTCAAAATCAGAATGCTCATCTCCCCACAAGTCACTGCCTACCTGCAAATTACTGTAGCAGGAAACTGCTTTCTCCCAAGCCAACTGCAAACAATTAAAACATAACTACCGTAGTACTGGCAGCAGTACCATGCCTAACACAACCAGCCGACTGCTGCTAATCAGCCATCCTCTCCCAATCATCTTCACCATCATCTGCCCCATCCTCTGCCACTCCTGCAACCGCAGTAGGAGCTGTAGCAGAATGCCTAACAAACAACCCACCGATACTGATTGCTGCTAATCAGCCATCTTCTCCCAATCATCTTCACCATCATCTGCCACATCCTCTGCCACTCCTGCAACCACAGCACGAACCGCAGCAGGTGCAGCAGCAGCGGCCACAGCAGGAGCAAGAGCATGAGCAGGAGCAGCTGCAGGGGAGGATGATGCTGCAGCAATAGCAGCTGATACTGCTGTAGCAGTTGTCGCAGCCATAGCAGGCGCAGAATCAGCTGCACTAGCCACACCAGCAGCACCAGCAGCACCATCATCACCCCCCCATGCCTCGTCCAACAATGCATGCCCAACCCCCGTTTTAATCACAGCTGCACCCCCCCCTCCTCTCCCCCACGCCCCTCCCCCAGTCCCACCCGCCCCAGACCCACCTCGCCCACCTCGCCCACCTCGCCCACCTCCCACCCCCCCCATTCCCCAACCTCTACCCGAACCTGTACCCACAGGTCCGGTCGAACCTCTCCCGCCCCAAGCCGCCGAACCACAGCCTCCAGCACCCATACCTCCAGGCCCACCTGTCCCAGGTAAACCCCATGACCCCTGTTGCTGCCGCCTTTGCTGCTGCTGCCCCTGCTGCTGCCCCTGCTGCTGCCCCTGCTGCTGCCCCTGCTGCCCCTGCCCCTGCCCCTGCTGCTGCTGCAGCTGATACACACTCCCACGAGCAACAGCACCCCAGAACGGCTTTGCATGATCCAAAAACCGCATGGCAGTCGCTGCTCGCCCCGGGTCCTCAAACACTGCCACGGCGTTCCGATCGTCAATCCACACGAGCTCACACTCCCCTCCGAACCTCACAAGCTGGGTCGCCACGTTGGAGTCTCGGGGAAGGGATAGGAGCGCCACCACACGAGCCGGGTTCAGGTCGATTTCCGGGTCGAATGGCGGGGCAGGAGCAGTGAGAGAAGGTGAATACCCCGGGCCTAACGGTACCAAGTTGCTCCCAATGATGCTGCCGCCACCGCCGCCGCCACTGCTGCCGCTGCTGCTGCTGCTGGTGCCGACGCTGGTGCCGGAAGGAAGAGGAAGCTTCCTGGTAGGAGCGCGGGACTTGGACGTGGTATACACGAGCGTGAATCGGTGCGGTTCGGCTCCCTTTGAGACGGTTTCTAATCGCCAGCGACCCGCCATCTGATGCACAGCCTCCCGCCTCTCTCTGCCCATCGGCCTGAAGATGTGCAGACGAACACTGTCCCTCGGCCACCCAGTTGCTGCTGCTGCTGCTGCTGCTGCTGCGGCTGCTGCTGCTGCTGCTGCTGTTGTTGTTGCGGCTGGTGGGGTTTTAGAGGTGGGACCAAGGACCAGATACTGCAGGCGGGCTTCTATATCTGCCGCCCAACGGGGGTCGGCTCGAATAATCTCCATTACAGATTGAGACAACTCCCCACTGGTGCCAACACCACTACCACCGGTATTGCTGCCGCTGCCGCTGCTGATACCGCTCCTGGTGTTGCTGCTGCTGGTACTGTCTCGGCCGTCCCAAATACTGCTACTGGTGCCGGTGCTGCTGGTATTACCGCCCTCTGCTGCTCCAGCCAAGGGATGAAATGCCTCAGCCAAAACTTTCCGCCTCTGAATCTTCTCACACTCCTCATTGCACGCCAGCTTGCACTGCCCGGGCGGAAACTTTCTCGCTGCCCGGCCTCCGCCGCCTACCACATCCACCGGCTGAACCAGAGCAGTCGGCAGCCCGGGCAGGATGAGATTCCCGGTCAGCCAATCAGAGTCCTTCCCACCTGCCCCGCAGGGGACTCGGGCGGAAAGTCGGCCGCAGGCGCAAGTGATGGTGGAAGGGGTGGTGCAACGGGTATCGGGACAAGGGGAGCCTATGTGACAGGTTGATGTGCAGGTGTGTTGGCATTCTCTCCTGGGAGCACCACAGGGCTGCCCACAGGAGAGAGGGCCTGTGATTCGCTGCTGCTGCTGCTGCTCCCGTTGCTCCTGCTCCTCTTTGCTTAGAATGCTATCCTTTTCATCCTCACCAGCCGCAGCACCAGTTGCAACAGCAGCAGCAGCGGTAGAGGGAAATGAAGGCCCCGGGTCATCACACGGCCCTACATGACACAGCTTTAAGCAAGCATGCACCCCACATTGCCTCCTCTTCCCACACACATTACTGCACCGGATATCCTTACTACCGCACGGCACCCCTCTCAACACCACATGACCGCCCACGCACTCCTTGGCCACCGCAGAGGAACACGGCGGACAATCCCCGAAATGGCAGGGGTGATCCGGATCGTGCCCGCAATCCCTCGCTTTAGAGCAAGGCTGGGAGCAGGAGGGAGGGGAGGTGCCGCAGGGGACTGGAGGAGGGATAAAGGAAGAGCCGCAGGAGCAGGAAACTTCTGTGAAGGAAGCTTCCAGGCAAGGGGGGCAGTGGCCGGAATGGCAAAGCTCCATGCAGGAGTGCTTGCCACAACGAAGCTTCTTTCCACAGACGAGCATGCAGAGATGGGGGTCTGTGTCAGATGCGGCGGGTGGTGCTTTGTTTTTAGGGTTTTTCGGGCAGCAGCTGGTGTTGCAGCGGTGCCGCCCGCAGTTCTTCTTGGCGTTACACTTGCGGTTACAACGAAAGGGCTCCGTGTCAATACCTCCTGCTGCTGTTGCTGCTCCTGCTGCTTCTGCTTCTCCCATCGCTGCTGCAGCAGGTTCCCCATTTGCAGCGCTGCCATTGCCAGAAACCCCAAACCCCATTTCCTTCCCAGCAGAAACCAACGTTTTATAACACGGCACTGTCCGAACAGACTCCCCACACGCGCACCGCTGCTCCACTGGCTTCTCACAGGGGGGGCACTCACCCACGTGGCACAGACTGCCACACACGTGCTGACCACACGCCAGTAGCTTGCCACACGCGCTGCCACACGTGGGTATGGGGTCTAGGCACGAGGTGCGCTGGATTTTCGCCTGCCCGGGTTTCTGAAGAAGGGCGGTGATTGGCTGCTTGCCGCACGGGCAGGTGTGAACGGCGGAGGGCGAAAATTGACAGTCACCACAAGAGGTATCGGCATTGGTGCTGCTGCTGTTGCTGCTGTGGCAGCGCTTCTGGCAGCGGTGGTTACCACACGGAAGCAGCTTGTTACAAACAGTTTCGCAGGAAAATGCATCTTTGACGAGGTAAACCCCACTGCTGCCGCTGCTGCCTGTTGTGCTGCTGCTGCTGCTGCTGCTGCTGCTGCTGGTGTTGATGCTAGTTGTGGTGTTGCTGGTGATTGTGCTGCTGCTGCTGGTTGTGGTATTGCTCTCTTCATAGGAAGAGACAAAAGGAGTTGGAAGAGGAGGAGTATCAGCAGGAGTAGGAGCGGAGACAAGAGGAGGGTTACTCGGTAACAGGCTAGAACACCGTCTCTGCTGCTCCTCCTTCCCACACACACACTGTGCCACCACTACCTCCTCACACTCCCCACACTCCCCCTCATGACACACCCTCCCACACACATGCCTGCCACACCTCAGCACCGCATTACACCGCTCTCCACACGACACGCCCCCAGGCTTCGCAGCAGCCTCGCTGCACCGCCTCTGGAACCGCCGTCCCCCACAAAAGCACGACTCGGTATTAGCCATAGCGCTGCAAGGCGGACAGGGCCCTGGGTGACAAATCAGCGTGCACGAATGGGGGCAGGACGAACCGGGTAACCCTAGTGGCTTATGGCAGGTTTCGCCACAGGAATGCGGGACCAGGTAGGGATCGAACTGGGGATCTTCCCGTTGCCCACAGAAGCAGAAATAGCGGAGTTGAGAGGGAGGGGTTAGCTGAACAGCCTGACAACCGGGACACCTCCATCCCTCGCTTCCAGCCCCTCCTGCCCCCCCTGATCCTGCCGCTGCCACTCCTGCTCCTCCTCCCACTGCTCCTGCTGCTACTCCTGTATTCTGACTCGCGTTCGCGCTCCCGCCCGCGCTCCCCGCTGCATTCGCCGCGGCGAGGTCCGGCGCGGCGCCGGAAGACGGCGCCTTGGCCCACTTGCGCGTGCAGTGGAGGTGGAACAGGCTGTAGCAGCTGTGGCACGTCCAGACGGCAGCGGATCGCCCCACAGGGTCGTAGCAGATCATACACTCCACCTGCCCGCTCCGCAGCCGGTTTTCTATCTCCTGTAGCAACTGCGGAACCTCCACTCCGTCTTTTCTGGCGCCGATCGCGGCGCCAATCGCGGCGGCTCTCGCGCCGCCGCCGCTCGTTGCGGTTCGTTGGTCGGGAGTGGAGCCACTAAAACCCAGAGTATGCATTCGCTGCTGCTGACGTGGTTGGTGTTGGTAGGGCTGGTGCTGAGGCAGCTGCGGCGGTTGGTTGAAATGCTGCTGGTGCTGCTGATGCTGCTGGTGGCGAAACGGCTGGTGTGAACCCGAAACTGGGGCTGATGCTGGTAACCCTGTTACCTGCTGCTGTGACTGCAACGGAAGCTCTACCTCCCCTCTGTCTCCACGCCCTCCTCTCCCCCTTCCCCCTTCCCTGCCTCCTCTCCTGCCGCCCCCTCCCCCCCTTCCCCTTCCCCGCGCGCCTCCCTGCTGTGCTCGAGCATCTGGCGGGGCAAGAAGCGCGGGCAGGTCCAATATTCCAGGACCTGCCCGTGGTTGAGGTGGCTGCAGAAAATGATTAATGTTGACTGGATGCGCAGCTGGCATATTCCCCGCGCTAATCCCGCTCCCACGCATGCTTCCGTCAGCATTAACCAACACCGGCTGACTTGCCGGCTGAGGAGACTGGCCGGTCAGATCTGCCGGCTGATTAGACTGCCCAGCAGGCACCAGAAACGGCCGGTAAGGCTGGGAATAACCGCGGCGAGGCTGAGGGAAGTCCTGCGTCTGACGATCTGCAGACACGCCGTACAACTCTAGGAGTGTATTGGCAGCTCCGTCGCCACCGCCACCGCCGCCACCGCCACCGCCGCCACCGCCGCCGTTACCGCCGTCGCCACCGCCGCCGCGACCCCTGCCGCGTCCGCCGCCGCGATTGCCGCCATATCCTCCACGAGCAACATGACCGTCTGAATCTTGACCGCGGCCCCTCCCTCTGCCCCGGCCACCATACCTTCCCAGACCGCTATTTTCCTCCGGGAACCGGTCATTTGCTTGTGAACTTCGGTCTTGAAAATCTCGATCTCGACCTCTACCCCCGCCCCTGCGGCGGCTGCCTCTTCCGCTTTGCTGATCGGAATTCGCGGACAGCGATTCTGACGACTGCGGATTGCGGTTGCTGGGAAAAGATGCCTGGACGTTATTATCCGACATGCTTACGTCGGGAAGGCGATGGACGATTGCCCCCTGAATATTCGTTGACGGAAAAGCTCGCGGTCGGATGGGAAGTGAGGGGAATGAAAGAAAAAGGCACAGGAGAAGAAAAGAAAGGCGAGGGAATGAATTGAATGCGGGACTGACTGAATACCTTTCTCGCTGTCTGCTTCTCTAGCAGAACCCGACCCGACTTGGATCCCCGACTTTGTGTTGTACCAACAATGCTTCAAGCAATCTCAAGCTGCTAGGAACTTCTGAACTGCGCATGCCTCCCTTGAAAATGCCGTGAATCTAGCTTGTGGGAGGGGTGATTATATATTTTGTGGACATGACGACACCAGCATCAGAGCAGAGCGGAGCACAGCCGAGCACCGCCACGCAAACTCGTTGCGCTCGTGTGCACTCAACCTTGAGAAGGGTGAACAGCGCATGCCCAGGCCGTTGGGGTGGTGGTGGCATGGCGGAGGTGAACTTGCGTGTGGATGAAGCAGGCGCGGGTGCGGGGCGGAGCCCTCGAGGGCACGCGGATGGGTGGAATTCGGTGGAGGAATCTGGGTTTCTGAAAACCCTGACACACTCTCCTAACACGAGCGAGGATTGGTTGGTTTGTCCGCGAACTCGCGATGGGTAGCGGTGTTACAGCTACACGCAACACAACATTTACCACTATACGGAAATTCTACTTATCACCAACCTTCCTGCTGCTGTTTTGCGCGGGCTTCCAACTCCTATCAAATCAGCGCCTTACACATCAGCGGCGACGCGACTGTTCAGAGAGCGCCGCGTGGAACAAGGCAATCCGAACGCCTGGCTAATCCCAAACCATCAACCAGGTGGTTCGCTTCTGGGGATGTCTGATTTTTCTCCACCATGCTCCACCCATTCTCTTGCTTAACAAAACATTTCAAATCGTTCTGAAGCTCACTGAGCCGTGCTTAAACTTACTCTTGAGACTTGGCCGTTTCATGCACCTTCACGCTCACCCTCAAGGATTATTTGTTGTTACCGAATCGTAGTTCTTATTACCCCTTTTATAACATGAGTCTATGGATCGGGATCTAGGAACCGTATCACCCATCCATTGCTCAGAGTTATGGTGTTTTTATCTCTCTGACGGTCTTGCTGCTTAGTCTATTGATAGCCTGAAAGTTGCATTTGTACGCCGTGCAGTCACGTAGGAATTGTCGTTGTTGTGAGGCTAAATAACGAGTTTATTTTACTAGGCCGAAGAGTGCGATCCAATCATAAGTTGACTTCGAGAGGTAAGGCGATATGAGGCCGGTCGTCGCGCCGCATCAAGCGCTACTCGCCGGCAGTAGGACCAACCTCGCAGCCGCTTCCGCAACCACTTCCGCTTGCGCCTCCGCCTGCGCCTCTGCCGCTTCCGCTTCCGCTTCAGCCTGCGCCAGCGCAGCTTCAGCCTCCGTTTCCGCAGGCGGCGTTTCCCCGCACAGGAGGAGCGGATCGTACGCCAGAGCCGTCCGATCTCCCACACGGGCTGTCCGAGCCGGCAGATCTCCCGCGGTTCCCGGCGCTGATTGCGGCGGGCCGATGTATCGTCTCGCTGCCGCAGCTGTGGCCTCTACAGCAGCCTCAGCGCGTAGGCACTCCGCCACAGCCGTTAGAACAGCTACAGCGGCTGGTACGGATTCAGCCGCGAGAGCAGCTACAGCTGCTACGACCGTCAGATCGGCTGCAGCCGCCGCAGCTGGTACAGGCGTTGAAACAGGTTCGCCGGCTAGAACTGCCACAACCGGGACGGAACAGGCATTTCGGAGTGTCTGGAACAGACCAGCTGTAGCGCAACGAGATGTGTGTTGTAACGCGACGGTTTTCCCAGTTTCCCAGCCAGCTGTAGCTCGTTCCGTTGTTCCCTTGCCGGCTGTAGTTCAACCAAATGTAGGTCGAAGGTTTACGCCTGTAGCGAGTGCCACGTCACCGGGTGCTACTTATTCGTCCACGTTGCTAAACGGCAGCAGCAGCAACAGCAGCAGCAGCGTCGGCAGAAGTAGTAGCGGCAGCAGCAGATGCCTCGCGGCTGGATTCACGAGCAGCAGCCTTCTCTGCAGAAAAAAGGTTGGTGGCGGCGCTGCTGGTTGTGTTGTTGTTGGTGGTGGTGGTGGTGGTGGCGGCGGTGGCGGTGGCAGCAGCATTGGCCTCATAGGTAACAGAAGCAGCAGAACAGCAAGCAGTAAGGGTGGGAAACAAATTACCAGGCTTGTACAAGCTGCGGCTGGTAGCGCAGCGGCTAAAAGCGGAGCGGGTAAGAGCGGAGCAGGCTCTCTGAGTGAGAGGGTGAGGAAAGGCGCTCTGGTGGAGTTTGAAAAGGAGCAGCAGAGACACGTGGTGGGGGTGGTGATGCGACCGGAAGGGAAGAAGAACTGGATCGTTATGGACCAGGTACGTACGCGTTATAAGCATGGAACTTGGCTTGGAATGTTGGGACTGCTATGGATAGGTATGTAATGCTGGGATACATCGAGGCCAAACTTGGAGTCAAATAATGAGGAATCAATCGCAGTTTCCTCCCCTGCTTTCTTTCCTCTATGCCACTCAATCGCAGAACGGCAACGCATTTTCACAGACTTCATCATTTTCCTCCCCTGTTTCCCTCCTCCTTTCCTCTCTGCCACTCAATTGCAGAATGGCAACACCTTTTCCGTGAGGCCACAGCAGCTGACATTTGTGGAAGTGGGGGAGGAGGATTTCAATGCTGCCGATCTCTCCTCCTTCCTCTCATCAGTTGACTCACTAACGGTCAGAATGTCTAAACCCCTTTTTCACTTCTTTGCAAGAATGTTTTGAGAGGTCTCAGAACTCTTCTTTCATTGCTCTTCGTTTTCAGTGTTCAGTCTTACACCATGTTTCTGTTGCTTCTCTCTCTCCCTTGTAGCCATCTGAATTACTTAGCTGCCCCTGTCTAGTTTCAATTCAGGCTTCAACCCGGAAACCCCAAAGCCCGAAATCTCAGCCCTGCCTATCCCCTTAACCACCAGGCCGATGCGTCACTCCTGGAAATGGTGTGGGAAATGGTTCTCTCAGAGCAGCCCACAGTCAGCCACCACTCAGCCGCCCAACACCTGTGTTGTGTCCCCCCCGCGTTCTTGTTCCCCTCAAACGCCAGGCTGATGCGTCACTCCTGGAAATGGTGTGGGAAATGTTTCTCTCAGAGCAGCCCACAGTCACCACGCAAGAGTTTGCAGAGGTAAGCAACATGCATTAACCTTGTGTTGACCTCATACTCGCTATAAGCATATCTCTTCAAGCAGCCCACAGTCACCCTCACCCTCACCCTCACCCTCACCCTCACCCTCACCCTCACCCTCACCCTCACCCTCACCCTCACCCTCACCCTCACCCTCACCCTCACCCTCACCCTCACCCTCACCCTCACCCTCACCCTCACCCTCACCCTCACCCTCACCCTCACCCTCACCCTCACCCTCACCCTCACCCTCACCCTCACCCTCACCCTCACCCTCACCCTCACCCTCACCCTCACATCACCTGCCAGATTGCATTTGGAGAGGCAGAGGACCCACTAGTGCCGCACTTTGCCGCCCACCGCATGCTGTTGACTTGACTCTCTGACTGTCTCTCCTCAACCCCATCACGCTCACTCCACCCTCACCATCTACCTTACAGATTGCCTTCGGAGAGGCTGAGGACCCACTAGTGCCGCACTTTGCCGCCCACCGCATGCTGACTGCCGACCGCATCTTCTTCAAGAGAGTCCGCGGTGCCGCCCACTCCTTTGAGCTGCGCCCGCCCATGCAGGTATTATTTGTCCTGTAGTGAAGGGCACACTAGGCATGCGCGAATGGGTGAACCCGGTTCAAACCGGTTCAAATCTGGCCCAAGTCGAACCTCCAAATTTGGTTTGCCGGACCAGGTCGGGCCGAACTTGGTTCGATCCAGCCCAATCTTTCCCAATCTTTTGTTTCGTGCTTCAATGAATCGTGACCCCTTCCTTGGTTCCTTCCTTTTCTCTCCTCCGCCTCCCCCCAACCCCATCCCAACAGGTGGAGCAGCTAAGGAAGCAAGCAGCAGCGGAGGCAGCAGTAAGGGCAGAGCAGGAGGAGTTTGTGACCTGCATTCGAGAAGCATTGAGTTGCGGCTGCCCCCTAGGCAATGCCCCTTGCCCTAACAGGCGAATGTTTCCTTACTGCTCTCCCCAACCCCAATTCAACAGGTGGAGCAGCTGAGGAAGCAAGCAGCAGCGGAGGCAGCAGTAAGGGCAGAGCAGGAAGAGTTCGTGACCCGCATTCGAGAAGCAATAAGAATGCCCCCTGCGCAAAAACCCACACCAGAGATCTGGAGGGAAAGGATCGAGAGGATAGAGAGGGCAGAGGAGCAAGGAGGGGCAAGGGGGGTGGTGAAGGAAGTGAAGGAGGAGCAGGGGAAGGGGAAGGGGAGCAGCAGGGACATGGGGTTGGGGGGGGACGTGGCGGCCCGGGATTGGCTGCGAGAATGCAGGCACTGTTGGAGTATGCGGAGGAGAAGCCAGGTGGCAACACGGCATTGGCTGAGGAGGTGGGTGCGAGATGATGGCGAGATGATGGGAGAAGGCGAGAGGATGGGAGAGGGTTTAGGGTGTGTGTGCATGCCTGTGCCCGTGCCCGTGCCCGTGCCCGTGCCCGTGTCCGTGCCCATGCGCATGCCTTGCTGCCTCTGCCTTTACCCTATTCCCCCTTTGTGCCTATCCAACAGTCACAGTCCCTGCAACTCCTCCTCGGCTGTGTGAGAACACCAGAAGCAGCGTGCGACCTGCATGTGGGCTTAGAGGCACTGTCACTCCACACCATGCTCATGCCTTGCTGCCTCATTCTTCCCTTCAAACTCCTTCACCTCTGAATTCCACAGTCCCTGCAACTCCTCCTCGGCTGTGTGAGAACGCCAGAAGCAGCCTGCGACCTGCTTGTTCGTGCAGGGGCCCTTCCACTCCACTCCCACTCCTTCCTCACGTCTCTCTTCCCAACTCTCTCTCTCTCTCTCTCTCTCTCTCTCTCTCTCTCTCTCTCTCTCTCTCTCTCTCTCTCTCTCTCTCTCTCTCTCTCTCTCTCTCTCTCTCTCTCACCTGTGTCCCCCACGTTCCCCCACACGTGCAATTCACAGTCCCGCAACTCCTCGGCTGTGCCAGAACCCCAGAGGCAGCATGTGACCTGCTCGTTTGTCTCTCCGCCCCTCCCTCTGCCTCCCCCACATATTACAGTCCCTCCAACTCCTCGGCTGGCCAGAACCCCAGAGGCAGCATGTGGCCTGCTCTTGCGAGCGGGGGCCCTTCCACTCCACTCCCACTCCTTTCCCACATCTCACTTCCCAACTCTCTTCTCAAATCTCTTCCTGACTCTCTCTGCCTGTGGCCCCCACATTCCCCCCACGTGTGCGCCTTGCAGTCTCTGCAACTCCTCGGCTGTGTGAGAACGCCAGAAGCAGCCTGTGATCTCCTTGTTCGTGCGGGCGCCCTGCCACTCCACTCTCTCTCCTTCCGCCTCGCTGCCTCTGCCATGCCTGGAAGCTTCCCAGCAAGTGTCGCCGATTACTCTGCTGCTCTCGCAGCAAACCCCCCTCCAGACCCCGACGAGGTATGCTCCCTCCCTCCCTCCAAAGACTTACATCCTTCCGTTATCTTGCTGCCTCCCCCCCTGCTTCTCTCTGCTGCCCCCTCTGCTTCTTTCTTCTTCCATCACACAGCAGATCCCTCCTCCCCTTCCCTTTCTCCCTCCCTTTCTCCCTTCCTTCTTCCCTCCGTGCCATTTCAGAGCATACGTGTTGATTTAACGCATCTCAAAGTCTACACCATAGACTCATACGATACAGTAGAAGTGGACGACGGGTTGAGTGCAGAAACCCTCCCAGACGGTCGTATCAAGGTCTGGATACACGTGGCTGATCCGAGCCGCTGGATGAGGCTCGGCGACAGGCTTGACACAGAGGCTCGGAAACGAGCCACGTCTGCGTATTTCGCCACGGGAGCCGTACCTATGATTCCGTTCTCCCTTGCTGCGGGTCCCATGAGCCTCTCCGTTCCTCCTGCTCCTCCTCCTGCTGCCGATTCTGCTGGTGCTGATGGTGGTGCTGCTACTGGGAGCTCTGCTTCTGCTGTCGTTTGTGCGGTGACTGTGGCAGTCACATTGAATTCGGATTTCAGGTATGTGGCTGGGGGGGCTTGTGAAATAACGAGTTTTGAAATGTCTCAATATTGCCAGTAAGTTTAGATGTTAACTGTCCAATATGTACATTTCAGCGAATCCATGCATTTCCCATATCTTTTTTTTTTTTTTTTTTTTTTTTTTCAGTCGTTAACTGTTCATTTTCCCTCCCGACACCTCCCCTTTCCCTTTTTTTCCCTGCTCTTGTATCGTGCAGCATTGATGACGTGGACATCATGAACTCTTTCATCTACCCGACCTACCGGCTAGCCTATGACCAGCTGCCCGAAATGCTAGCAATGGCGGGCGAACACGAACCCGAGCTCCTCCTCCTATCAGACGTTGCCGCCGGCCGGTTACGTTACCGCATGCAAAACGGGGCGGCAAATATTTCCATCCCCGAGTCTGACATCAAAGTCTTTTCCGCCACGTCACACTGCCCGGAAATCTCGGTCAGCACGATCGACCAGTCCGACCCGTCCCGGAGGCTCGTTTCCGAAGCTATGGTCCTCTGCGGCGAGGCTGTGGCTAGGTTCGGCGCCGAACGTGACCTGCCGCTGCCGTACCGAGGCCAGGGCCCTCCGGACCGAATGACTGATGAGGATGAGGAGGATTTGCAAGCGCTCCCTGAGGGCCCGTGCAGGGCCGTGCATTTGCGATCGTTTATGAGTCGCAGTGAGATTAAATGCTCGGGGCCGATTCCGCATGCTGGGCTGGGACTGCAGGGGTATGTGCAATTCTCGTCGCCCATCAGAAGATATTCTGACCTGCTGGCTCATTATCAGGTATGATGACGCATTGTGAAGTAGTAGGCTAGTGGCATGCATGTGCTGCTCCCTGTGCGGACATGCAACAGCAGGCATGCTGGGCTGGGACTGCAGGGTTTTGTGCAATTCTCCTCACCCATCAGAAGATACTCGGACTTGCTCGCGCATTATCAGGTATAAGGATCAGATTTCGACACAATCGTATCAGATCTCAACACAGCTGTATCTCCTTTTGCTGCCCATCTAACATTGGATGGTTTTTTAATTATCTTGCCCTTGATCCCTTCAGGTTAAAGCCCTGTTAAGGGGTGAGCCGCCCCCGCTATCCGTATCCGACCTCGACACAATCGTATCTCACTGCGCCGCCCGGCAGCGCGAGGTACGGCGGGCGGAAGGGGCGGTGGAGCGCTACTGGCTGCAGGAGTACCTGCGGCGGCTGCCGGCCAATACCGTGCTGACAGCTGTCATGCTCAAGTGGCTCCGGGCGGACGGCAGCCCGCTGGCGCTGATGCTGGTGGAGGAGGTGGGTTCTGGTGGGGTGGGAAGGGGTGGAGTGCGGTGGGATGGGGTAGTAGGAGAGGGGATGGGGTAAGTGGAAAGGGTTGCTGACATGACAGCTGTCATGCTCAAGTGGCTCAGAGCGGAAGGCAGCCCATTGGCACTGATGCTGCTGGAGGAGGTGAGAAAGGGAGGGGGAGAAGGGTGTGAGTGGGTGGGAGGTGGTGCGCGGGGGGGGGGGGGGGGGGGGGGGGGGGAAATGGTGTGACGAGCAGGTCAAGAGATGACAGCTGTCATGCTCAAGTGGCTCCGAGCGGACGGCAACTCGCTGGCGCTCAAGCTGGTGGAAGAGGTGAGTGGGGGGAGGGAAGGAGAGTGGGGGAGATGCGTGGGGGAGGGTGAATGGTGTAGGGTTAAGGGGGGTAGATGAGTGGGCTGGGTTGACAGCCAGCTTTTATACTCAAGTGGCTCAGAGCAGACGGCAGGCCGCCAGCGTTGATGCTGGTGGAGGAGGTGAGAGGAGGGGTATTTTTGAGACGTCCCAAAAATAAGCCTCATACCCGGGGTCGACCGTGAAGAAGGAGCATCAGCATCAGCATCAGCATCAGCATCAGCATCAGCATCAGCACCAGCATCAGCATCAGCATCAGCATCAGCGCATCAGCATCAGCATCAGCGCATCAGCGCATCAGCATCAGCATCAGCGCATCAGCGCATCAGCATCAGCATCAGCGCATCAGCATCAGCATCAGCATCAGCATCAGCATCAGCGCATCAGCATCAGCATCAGCATCAGCGCATCAGCGCATCAGCATCAGCATCAGCATCAGCATCAGCATCAGCATATCAGCATCAGCATATCAGCATCAGCATCAGCATCAGCGCATCAGCATCAGCATCAGCATCAGCATCAGCATCAGCATATCAGCATCAGCATCAGCATCAGCATCAGCATATCAGCATCAGCATCAGCATCAGCATCAGCATCAGCGCATCAGCATCAGCATCAGCGCATCAGCATCAGCATCAGCGCATCAGCATCAGCATTAGCATCAGCATCACCGCATCAGCATCAGCATCAGCATCAGCATCAGCGCATCAGCATCAGCATATCAGCATCAGCATCAGCATATCAGCATCAGCATCAGCGCATCAGCATCAGCATCAGCGCATCAGCATCAGCATCAGCGCATCAGCATCAGCGCATCAGCATCAGCATCAGCATCAGCGCATCAGCATCAGCATATCAGCATCAGCATCAGCATCAGCATCAGCATATCAGCATCAGCATCAGCATCAGCATATCAGCATCAGCATCAGCATCAGCGCATCAGCATCAGCATATCAGCATCAGCATCAGCATATCAGCATCAGCATCAGCATCAGCGCATCAGCATCAGCATCAGCATCAGCATCAGCATCAGCATCAGCATATCAGCATCAGCATCAGCATCAGCATCAGCGCATCAGCATCAGCATCAGCATCAGCATCAGCATCAGCATCAGCGCATCAGCATCAGCATATCAGCATCAGCATCAGCATCAGCGCATCAGCATCAGCATATCAGCATCAGCATCAGCATCAGCGCATCAGCATCAGCATCAGCATCAGCGCTGATGCTGGTGGAAGAGGTGAGAGGAGGTGGGTGAGATGGGGGTGGGGGTGGTGACCGTGACAATGCATAACTGATGGTCTTCACCCTCTCATTTCCTTGTGTTTATTCCTCCATCAGGTGGGGATGGAGACGGTTATGAAGATGCAGCGGGACGTGCGGGTGGGTGATTCTGTCGATGTGATTATAGCAGAGGCCGACCCTACACGGGACAAGCTGAGGCTCATGGAAGCTCCTCCCAGCTTCAGGGAGGCTCAGATGAGAAGTTTGGTAGATGAGGAAAGAGAGGGAGGGGAGTCAGGAGATGCTGGGGAGGGGGAAAGCTTGGATAGGGGAGAGGAAGGGGAGGTGGATGGGGAGAGCAGTGGAGAGGCATGGGAGAATGGCGCAGACATAGATGTGGAGGGCCAGCCGCTTGCGAAGCTGTGATTGTGATGGTGGTGGTGCTGATGATGATGGCGATGGGTTTCATGAAGCTGGCAGTGCCTTGCAGCTACACTACCAGTGTCATCCCAACTATCTGTTACATAACGTGTATGGTAGCTATGGTAAAGAGTAAAGCGGCAAATGATGGCATGGGAGGAGGGCTGAAATGTTAGTTTAACAACAACTCCCCTCCCTTCAATAGGACATACCGTAGATGTGATAAGGTATCTAGGTAAGTTCCAGTCTAACTACCAAGAATGCTGTCAAGTGCAGCGGACGGTACCATAACTATCTGCTCTTGTAACCAGAATACCGTAATAAATCACATCTGCTGAATTTTTGCTATTGAAAAATCATGAAGTTGGTCTCCCTAGGGAGACCACACCAGTTGTTGCCACATAAATTTATTCATTCACTACAGCATCTGTTGCACAAAACTGTTGCCGTGCAAGGAAGCATCATCCCCCAAAGTGTCGCTGTAGAGGCTGTGCCATTTTCTTCCAATGTCACGCAGCTTGGAGTGTCTTAGTTGTTAGAGAAACAGCTTGCAAAAGGTGAGGTCTGAGGTTCTATGGGGGTGTAAATCATAGATCATTCTTTGTGAACCCTGAAAAATCAGGTTTTTTTTTTCAGGGACACTGAAAATCAGCCTTCTTTTCACAGGGACCCTGATGCATCAACGTCCCTTAAAGTGAATCTGAGGGCCTGGTCACGCTCCACTCAAGTGCGCCAGATGGCCATGTGGCCACACCCACACACGTCACCACAGGAGCAATTCTCAGGACCCAGCACGACCGCGACACACACATCACTCCTCCCTGCTGTGAAAGCAAGCACCCTGCCCCCCTCGTGTCTGCCAGTCACTGCCACCAACATTCATTCCTTCTATAGCATCTTTTGCACGCTGCTACTGCCGTGCAACGAGGCATCATCCCCTGACGTGTCACTGTAGCAGCCATACCGCCTCCTGCCAGGACCTTGGCCCACCCGAGTCCGCCAGATGGCAACGTGGTTGGCACAGGAGCAATTCTCAGGACCCAACACGTCTGCCACACACACATCGCTTATTAACGCGTCTGTGTTGGTAGCAGCTGAACCATTGGCAGCACCAGGCACAGCAGCAGCAGCAGGAGCAGCAGCAGCAGGAGCAGCAGCAGCATCAGGAGAAGAAGCAGCGATAGGAGCCGAATCAGCAGCAGCAGCATCAGCAGCAGCAGCAGCATCAGCAGCACCAGCAGCAGCAGCAGCCCTTGCAGCACGGCACCTCTCTCTACTCGCAACAAACTCCCTCACAAACAGATCAATCTTTTCTGGGGATACACTCGGCATCACCACCGCATGAGCCACCTTCCCCTGGCAAGCCAGCTGCCACCGCCTTACAAACCCCTCCTCTTCGGGCCTCTCAAAAACCACTGTGCTGCTGAGAGTGTTCAGCATCGCGCCGAACCCCGCCGCCCGCAACCGCGCGTGCAGGTGGAGCGCGTTCCGGAGGCAGCGCTGCACGTCTTTCCGGAATCCGCGGTAACCCTTTTTGTTGAGGGTATACCAGAGGAAGATGGGGGCGTGCCCGTTGCGTGAGCCCATGATTGTGGCATCTCGAGAAGCCAAGTATTCGATGTCAGAGGAGAGAGCAGAGAGGTAGCAGCGACGCATGATCTGCACCCCGCAGGGCATGGGGCAGCCAACAAACTTGTGGCCTGAGACTGACACACTGCCGATGGGCTTCTTGAAAGTCACACGGGGGGCCTGGAAGGGTGATGTAAGGGGTTGTTGTAATGGAAGGAGAAGGGAGAGAATGATCCATAAACTGCACTCCATAGCGCATGGGGGAGTTGACGAACTTGTGTCCCAAGACATTGCCAACAGGCTTCTTGAATGTCACACGCGGGGCCTAGAGGGGGTTGAAAAGGAGGGCATAACAAGCCGAATTGAATATGAAGGGATGATGGGCACATGTGGAGGCAGAACCCATGATGGTTGCGGCCCGAGAGGCTAAGTATTCGATGTCAGAGGAGAGGGCGGAGAGGTAGCGGCGACGCATGATCTGCACCCCACAGGCCATGGGGCAGCCAAAGAACTTGCGACCTGAAACGGACACGCTGCCGATAGGCTTTTTGAAGGTCACACGGGGGGCCTGCGGGGGTGATGACTGGGGATGGGGTTAGATGCTGCTGATATAGCATGTGATGCAAACACGGCAAAAAGGCAAGTGGTGCTAAGGTATACCCTTTTTATGAAGGGCAAAGAGGTGACTTTTGAGTCGACTCAAAAGTCACCTCGAAAAGGTAATTGGTGCTAAGGTATATCGCAGTGGATGTAGAACTGGACGTCCGACAGGCCTGCCTCGTGAAGTGTTTAAGCTGATACCAACAGTCTTCACCGTATCCACCGAGTTAAGTGTGCTGGATGCATGGTACCACCGATAGCACCATGCACATGGAGAGCCCATCTCGTACCTTGTTGACGAACGGCAGCATGAGGCCAAAGAGGGCCCCGTCGCAGTGGATGTAGAACAGGTCGTCCGACAGGCATGCCTCATGAAGCAACTCTATGAGTCACATAGATAAGAAGATGTGCCGCGCATGTACGGCCCTGACAGCTTACCTTTTTCACAAACGGCAGCATGAGGCCTAAGAGGGCGCCGTCGCAGTGGATGTAGAACAGGTCGTCCGACAGGCCTGCCTCATGAAGCAACTCTATCAGTCACATAGATAAGAAGATGTGCCGCGCATGTACGGCCCTGACAGCTTACCTTTTTCACAAACGGCAGCATGAGGCCTAAGAGGGCGCCGTCGCAGTGGATGTAGAACAGGTCGTCCGACAGGCCTGCCTCATGAAGCAACTCTATCAGTCACATAGATAAGAAGATGTGCCGCGCATGTACGGCCCTGACAGCTTACCTTTTTCACAAACGGCAGCATGAGGCCTAAGAGGGCGCCGTTGCAGTGGATGTAGAACAGGTCGTCCGACAGGCCTGCCTCATGAAGCAACTCTATGAGTCACATAGATAAGAAGATGTGCCGCGCATGTACGGCCCTGACAGCTTACCTTTTTCACAAACGGCAGCATGAGGCCTAAGAGGGCGCCGTCGCAGTGGATGTAGAACAGGTCGTCCGACAGGCCTGCCTCATGAAGCAACTCTATCAGTCACATAGATAAGAAGATGTGCCGCGCATGTACGGCCCTGACGGCTTACCTTTTTCACAAACGGCAGCATGAGGCCTAAGAGGGCGCCGTCGCAGTGGATGTAGAACAGGTCGTCCGACAGGCCTGCCTCATGAAGCAACTCTATCAGTCACATAGATAAGAAGATGTGCCGCGCATGTACAGCCCTGACAGCTTACCTTTTTCACAAACGGCAGCATGAGGCCTAAGAGGGCGCCGTCGCAGTGGATGTAGAACAGGTCGTCCGACAGGCCTGCCTCATAAAGCAACTCTATCAGTCACATAGATAAGAAGATGTGCCGCGCATGTACGGCCCTGACAGCTTACCTTTTTCACAAACGGCAGCATGAGGCCTAAGAGGGCGCCGTCGCAGTGGATGTAGAACAGGTCGTCCGACAGGCCTGCCTCATGAAGCAACTCTATCAGTCACATAGATAAGAAGATGTGCCGCGCATGTACGGCCCTGACAGCTTACCTTTTTCACAAACGGCAGCATGAGGCCTAAGAGGGCGCCGTCGCAGTGGATGTAGAACAGGTCGTCCGACAGGCCTGCCTCATAAAGCAACTCTATCAGTCACATAGATAAGAAGATGTGCCGCGCATGTACGGCCCTGACAGCTTACCTTTTTCACAAACGGCAGCATGAGGCCTAAGAGGGCGCCGTCGCAGTGGATGTAGAACAGGTCGTCCGACAGGCCTGCCTCATGAAGCAACTCTATCAGTCACATAGATAAGAAGATGTGCCGCGCATGTACGGCCCTGACAGCTTACCTTTTTCACAAACGGCAGCATGAGGCCTAAGAGGGCGCCGTCGCAGTGGATGTAGAACAGGTCGTCCGACAGGCCTGCCTCATGAAGCAACTCTATCAGTCACATAGATAAGAAGATGTGCCGCGCATGTACGGCCCTGACAGCTTACCTTTTTCACAAACGGCAGCATGAGGCCTAAGAGGGCGCCGTCGCAGTGGATGTAGAACAGGTCGTCCGACAGGCCTGCCTCATGAAGCAACTCTATCAGTCACATAGATAAGAAGATGTGCCGCGCATGTACGGCCCTGACAGCTTACCTTTTTCACAAACGGCAGCATGAGGCCTAAGAGGGCGCCGTCGCAGTGGATGTAGAACAGGTCGTCCGACAGGCCTGCCTCATGAAGCAACTCTATGAGTCACATAGATAAGAAGATGTGCCGCGCATGTACGGCCCTGACAGCTTACCTTTTTCACAAACGGCAGCATGAGGCCTAAGAGGGCGCCGTCGCAGTGGATGTAGAACTGATCGCCTGAGAGGCCTGCCTCGTTCAACTGATACACCACACCAGCATACGGACAACAGCAGCACGTGCCGTATGGCGCTGCTGGTCGCACACTCAGCACAACGTACCTTCTTGACAAACGGCAGCATGAGGCCAAAGAGGGCCCCGTCGCAGTGGATGTAGAACTGATCGTCCGATAGGCCTGCCTCATGCAGCGTGGTGATGACCAGGTCGAGATCGTCCACTGCTCCCTTCACCGTGGTGCCTGGGGAAGTGGGGGCAGCAAGCGCAGGGAAAAGAAACTGGTGGTTCAACAGGCCTTTCTCGTGCAGTCCAGTGTGGTGATGACCAGGTCGAGATCATCCACTGCCCCCTTCACCGTGGTGCCTGGGGGGGTTGAGGTGAGGGAGAAAGAAAGAGGAGGGGGGTGGAGGCGTGAGGGAGAAGCGAACCCCTGGGTATAGAGTTAGCAAGGTTGCCAGCCAGATGCTCCCCTGGTGCTTAGCAAGCTTGCCAGCCAGATGCTTCCCAGGTGCTTAGACAGCTTGCCAGCCAAATCTCTCTGCAGTCAATGTCCCCAGCCATGTGTGCGCCTGCTTGTGTTCACCTACCCACTCTCTGTCACTATGATCACCTTCATTACAGGCTATACTCACTTATAATCACGCTCACTCACCAATGTTGACATTGAGGATTGCGGGTCGCCCTCTGTGCTTGGCAAGCTTGCCAGCCAGGTCTCTGCAGTCAATGTCCCCAGCGGTGTGAGTGGCCACCTTCTCACACTCCATGCGATACATGCGAGCTGCCTTGAAGATGGACTAGTGTGATTCGCTACACAGGTACTACATACACACATACTACACACGTACCAATGTTGACATTGAGAATCGCGGGTCGTCCTCTGTGCTTGGCAAGCTTGCCAGCCAGGTCTCGGCAGTCAATGTCCCCAGCCGTGTGAGTGGCCACCTTCTCACAGTCCATGCGATACATGCGAGCTGCCTTGAAGATGGAATAGTGTGATTCGCTACACAGGAACTACATACACACATACTACACACGTACCAATGTTGACATTGAGAATCGCGGGTCGTCCTCTGTGCTTGGCAAGCTTGCCAGCCAGGTCTCTGCAGTCAATGTCCCCAGCGGTGTGAGTGGCCACCTTCTCACAGTCCATGCGATACATGCGAGCTGCCTTGAAGATGGACTAGTGTGATTCGCTACACAGGAACTACATACACACATACTACACGCGTACCAATGTTGACATTGAGAATCGCGGGTCGTCCTCTGTGCTTGGCAAGCTTGCCAGCCAGGTCTCTGCAGTCAATGTCCCCAGCGGTGTGAGTGGCCACCTTCTCACAGTCCATGCGATACATGCGAGCTGCCTTGAAGACAGAATAATGGGACTCCCTAGACGCGTACAGCACCCCGTCTGGCAGGACCTCCCTCCTGGGCGGAGGGTGAGAAGGAGTGGGACAGAAGCAACAGCCAGCAGAAACAAAGTAAACCTCAATGTCACCAGCCAGCGGTGTGAGTGGCCACCCTCTCACAATCCATGCGATGCGATACATGTAGGCTGCCTTGAACACTGAGTAGTGGGACTCCCTAGACGCGTACAGCACCCCGTCTGGCAGGACCTCCCTCCTGGTGGAGGGGAGAGGGAGAAGAAGAGACGCACGAGACATTTTGAGAAAAGCAAACCTCAATGTCCCCGGCCGTGTGAATGGCCACCCTCTCACACTCCATGCGACACATTCGGGCTGCCTTGAAGACCGAGTAGTGGGACTCCCTAGACGCGTACAGCACCCCGTTTGGCAGGACCTCCCTCCTGGGAGAGGGGAGAGGGGGAGGGAATGGAGGTAGGCGGAGGGGAAAAAGAGGGGCTGTGGGTGGAGAAGAGATGCAAGGGGAACGGAGGAAGAGAGGGTAGGGGACAAGGAAGGAATGAGTACGGGGGAGAGAAAACGGGAAACGAAGGGCAAAAAGGGATGAAAGGGGTTGAAGAGAGGTAAAGAGGGCTATAGAGGGGTGCAGAGGGGCAAGACATACCCAACCAGGATGCCGTGCAGATTCCCTTCTGTGCCACAGTTGGTGATGTAGCCCCAGTAGTCGCCCTCGTCTAAGTCCCACAGGCGGGCAAACCAGTTGAGCACTCCCACCTGGCAGGGGAGGAAAGGAAAGGGATGACGAGGGATTTAGAGCGGTGCAGAACAGTGCAGGGGAGGTGACCTGCTTTTTCTTCAGAATAGAACTCCAACTCAGTTTGTGATGTAGCCCCAGTAGTCACCCCCGTCAAGTCCCACAGGCGGGCAAACCAGTTGAGCACTCCCACCTGGCAGGGGAGAGGGAAGGGGTGAAGAGGGACGACGAGCGGTTCAGTGCATGAGAGTTAGAGTTATTAAAACTTGACTCCAACACAGTTGTTGATGTAGCCCCAGTAGTCGTCCTCGTCTAAGTCCCACAGGCGGGCAAACCAGTTGAGCACCCCCACCTGGCAGGGGAGGAAAGGAAATGGATGAAGAGGGATGTAGAGCGATGCAGAGCAGTGGACGAGAGGAGACCTGTTTCCTTTATAAATGACTCCGACTCAGTTGGTGATCCAGCCAAGGATCTAACCAGGGTTTTGCAGAGGCAGAAGAAAATACCTCAAACGGACGGGAATGCACGCCGTAGTTGCTCTCAATAAAGGGATCCCCGAGATTGTTTATCGAGAAGTGCTGCAGACCCGCCAGGGCACCATAGTCGAAGTCCAAGTTGTACGGATAGCCTGATAGGGGAAGAGAAACAAAGCATCGTATGGAATACACACTTCCATTTCCACCAGTCCGACGCACCACATTCGTACTGCTTAGCGTTTCATTTTTTATTTTTATTATTTTTTAGCACCAGTATGACTGAGTGATCCCTTCTAGCAAATTCTGGACAGTCTTCACCATAGCCCTCAGGCTCCGTGATCTCGAATTGCCGCAAAATACAACTCGAAAACACAACATAAACTCCATTCTGACGTACCGAAATGGTACTGGGTCCGTTCTTCCAGCAGCTTCTGATAGGCCTCCAGAATCGATGCCATGTACTTGGCCTTCTCGCCCGTCTCCTTGTCGTCTCTCGCCGGCTCCGTGATCTCGAATCCCCGCAAAACCGCGTCCCGTTGCGCGTGTAACCCGTCCACGTCAGCAGGGCTCATGGCGCCGGATGGAGTCGTGGCAGCAGCAGAACCAACAACAACGCTTCCACTACCGCGCTGATTTCGGTTGGCTGTTTTTCCCGTTTCGTAGAAGCTGTTCGCTACATCCGATTGCGAGAGCCTGGCGCTCTCGCCGGTCGCGAAACTCTTCGCGACGTCCCCGTTCGCGAACGGCCTAGGGAACTCCATGCCGGGAAACATGGATTCCAGAAGATGCGGCGGCGCTACCGCTAGTGTCCCAGGCGCCGCTGCCATGGTAGATTCTGAATCGCGCTCGTGAGATTTTAGAGATGTTTCTAATTTGTCCGCTTTTTCTGAACCTCCTAGAAATGCTCTTCCAGTAGTTCCTTCTCGGTGCTTTCCCTGGTCTACCGTTATTCCGTCGGCAGCTGATGGAGCGACTGCGTGTCTCGGAGCATAAGGGCTTGCGGTTGGAATCCCAGTGCGCTGAAAATCAGTCAGGAGAGTGTCGACGCTAAAAGACTTTCTTAGGTGCTCCAGAGGAATATCCTCGGGAAGAGCTTGCAACAGCTCGGATTCGGGAAGAAGGAACTGGGATTCGAAATCTCCATTATGATAGTCGCCGTTTACGCCTGGGGGGTTTGTGGAGCCAGGCACGGGAACGAATCCGCTCCCTTGCGACATATCGTCTCAGGTTCTGTCGATTGAAGTTCGAACGAGGGGGGAGTGGGGATAAGATCGAGGGATGCACCAGTGAACTACGACGCCTTGAGCAAAGGCCACCAGAGATGGGGTCAACGACGAGGAAATATAGAACCGAGAGGTACTTGTGAGGTGCATCTGTGTGCTGTGCTTGTGTATCTGTATGAATTGTCATGATCCTTGCGTGTCAAACTCACGGCGCCACGTCCTCTCCTTAGAGGTTTGAGGGTTGATCTGGATTCTGGAGGCCAGCTGCTGTTCGGGTTGAGGCAGAAGGTTTCCCCCAAAAGTGACGAGGAGGGACCAAGTTAAAAAAGTGAATTCTCGAGGTGGTGGAAGGCGGGAAATTTTCTCATTTGAGAATCCCAAGGTTCTGATGAAGTCAACCTCGGTGATGTCGACAGGGGGATAAAGTTGAAAACATTTTCTACCAATCACAGCCATGCCACGCGTTCCAACATTCAAAGACAAGCCGCTATTGGATCCATGTAAGGGTTCAGGTTACCAAGTTGCCTCCCAAGTGCAACAGACCCCAGTAAACTTGGAGTAACGACTTATCTCGATCGCCGAGCCTCTGCGAACAAATTCGTTAATCGTTCGTACGGGTGACCCCCATTCTAGCCCCACACCACTTCTCACATGGAGAGATTGTCGGGGCAAGATAGGTGGTGGTTCATCGCACAGTTTCACGAAACGAAACGCATGAAATCGCGTATCGCTTTAGCTACAGCCTCCAGTTGCTAGCTTCAAACCATGGTGACATGGATATCAGGTGGTGCAGAGAAATTAGAGACGTTTTAAGCTGGTAAAGCGTGGTTACCTGTCAATTTCGCCACAAGCAGCACATTCCCTCCGACATCCTTCATCCCGACTTTCCCTCCCAATTTCACTGCCCGATTTCTTCGCTCAAACATTACAGGAGTAATACATACTCATGGTTCACTTGATTTCTTGGCGAAGCTCATGGTCCTTCTTTTCTATCCCAGCTGCCTGATCTTCCGCTTTCCGTTCTGCTATCTTTTCCCAGAGGCACCCCGCCATTGGTGATTAAGTCCGTTTGCTACTGCTAGTAGTGCGTGGTCCGCTATCAGGGACTGCGGTGTGACCACGCCACGAGTCCTTGCAAACTCGTTTGTGCTAATTCATTTGTATAGCGGCGGAGCCGGTGACGAAGCTTCGCAGTTGATATATTTTTACTCGGAACTTCCTAGTCAGAGTGTAACGCTCGATCGACATGTCAGCTCCTACGCGGAACGACGAAGAGGCCGTTATCAGCATGTCTGATGGCAACATCGACGCCTCTCGACCAATGCAAAACAGCGACGACTCCATACGAGAATCTCAGCCGTTCATCGATTCGCAACCGAAATCCGGGTCAAAATCAGCAGCTAGTTTCTCAATTCCTGCCCGGACCTCCTTATTCATAATCCTCCTCCTCCTGCTTATCCTCTGCGTGCTTATAGTTCTTTTGATCCCGCACAGAATTGTTGATTCTGAATTGTTACCGGTCTCCACCCCCGGAAATGACGGCGAAGTTCCTGGCAACGCCGGGCCTGAATTGGATCAACGTCGCATGGAGGAATGGGAGCGGCGGCTTGACGACTTCGTGCGACAGGAAACGAATAACCGCGACGGCGATCTATTGGCTGCGAAAAATCCGGCCCTGGTGGACCCGAAAATGCGCATCTGGCCCATGCCACGTCAGCTCAAGTCGTCCAATGGAAAGGATACTGTCAGGCCGGCAATTTTCAGCCCATTTAGCCAGTTGACCGTCTCGTTTGGTGAAGCCTCACCGGCCGACGAGGATTCCTCCCGATCGCTTGTAATGAAAGCTTATGACCGTTACCACCGCATAATTTTCGCCCACGAGTATGGCGACGACTATTCTGAGCTTGACGATTCGTCCACGAGTGCGACGTCGCAGAAGGGGGAAGCTGCGACCAACTCTCGTGCGACAGTGGTGGTGATAGAGAGAATCGACGTGCAAATAGCGCGGCCAGGAGAACCGGTGAGGATGTGAGGACGCAGCTAGGGGCGGCTAGTCAGAGAGTGACATATGACCGATGTGCGTATATCTGGTTCCAAAGCGAAGGGGAAATTTCTGAATGAAAATGCTCATTATAACACACACACTCTCTCTCTCTCTCTCTCTCTCTCTCTCTCTCTCTCTCTCTCTCTCTCTCTCTCTCTCTCTCTCTCTCTCTCTCTCTCTCTTTCTCCCATCCTCTTGTCAACTTTCAGCTGGATGTAGGGGTGGATGAGAGCTACACTCTCTCACTGGGAGGACGGGGAGAGCCAGGCACTGCTGTAATTCAGGTGCGCCGACTTATTCAGCTACTGCCCCACCCTCCTCTCCGTTCTTCTCTTCAACCGACATGTCAAATTATTCCTCTTCGTACCAACCCCCCCAAGCCCACTCACTCAACCCCTCCGCACCGCAAACCCCATCCCACTATCCCTCTTCCCTTTCCCTCCTCCGCCCTCCTTCCCCCCCTTCTTCCTTCCCCCCGTCCCTCTTATCGCAGGCCAGAACTTCCTTTGGTGCCCTCAGAGCGTTAGAGGTGAGCTGTGTGTGATTGAGGTGGGGTAGTTCAGCGAGGCATACAATGAGGCAGGGAGTTTCAAGGAGATGAGGATTGTAAGGGGTAGACGATCTACGGAGGAAGTGAGTCATATGCTATAATGCTAGTGCTAAGCTAGCCACATTGTTGCCACCACCCTGCTTTCCTCGTCCTCAATCAAAGCTTTTTCTGCCTCTCCCCTCTGGCATACCTCTGTCTTCCCATTCCTCTTTCTTCCCCATACCTCTTTTCGACGTGGCAGACGCTCAGCCAGCTATGCCACTACCACCACCCGTCTCGGCTCGTGACTATCTATGGTGTACCTCTGACAGTGGGCGATGCTCCCCGTTTCCACCACCGGGGGTTGCTGATTGGTGAGTGGGTCTGCGTCTGAAATGGGGTTCCTCGTAGGACTCATAGGCAGCTGTGTCGCTACCCTACCACCATCCATCTTGCCGTGTGAGCGTCCATGGTGTGCGTTTGAGAGTGGAGTGGAAGATGCTCACTGCTTCAATCACCTCCCTTCCGTTTTACCCTCACTCCTCCGCCTCATGTCCACCCCTCGTTCCCTTCTCCCTCCTTCCCTCCCCCCTCCCTCTCTCACTTCTCTGCGTTTGAGCAGACACGGCACGGCATTTCCTCCCCGTTGTGGAGATAGAGAGAGTGCTTGACGCCATGTCATATGCCAAACTCAACGTGCTGTGAGTGCTGGGATGGGATGGGTGGTTGGTTGCGGGGATGGGTGGTTGGGTGCAGGGTTGGGTGGGATGAAGGGGTGAATGGGTGCGGGGATGGGTGGGATGTATGCATGCATGCCCTGTCAGACAGGGCCTATCTCTTAATCACCTACAATCTGGAACTCTCCTCTCCACCCATCTCCACCGCTCTCCAGCCCTTCCCATAAAGAACTATTCCGTTCTTCCTCCTCCACCCTTTCCTTCATCATGCATAACATGCACCTTCGGTTCTCACATTCACCCCTGTCCACCCCTCTCCACCCCACTCCAGCCACTGGCACCTGGTGGACGCACAGTCGTTCCCCATTGAAACGCCATCCTTCCCTCGCCTCTGGGAGGGAGCTTTTTCCCAAGCGGAGCGATACACACTCAGGGACGCCAAACACATTGACAGGTAGATGCTTAGGTTTTTTTTTCTTTACCAGGTAGTTCTGTAGGAACCTCCTTCCCTCGCCTCTGGGAGGGAGCTTTTTCTCAGGCGGAGAGATACACACTCTCAGGGACGCCACATCGTCAGGTCAGGTGAATGCTCGGGTGCTATTTCAGGTGATTGTGAAAGGACTTCCTTTTTCACTCTCCTCTGGGAAGAAGTTCCTCCCAGGCGGAACTATGCACACTCTGCATTTGCTTTTCTGCACTAATATACATGCCTCTTCACCCCTTTGCACTGCTCTGCACCCCTCTCCACCCACCAGATATGCAGCAGCACGTGGAATTGTAGTCATTCCTGAGATCGACTCTCCCGCCCATGCCACGTCATGGTGAGTGGGACAAAGGCACTGACGGTGCAACCCATAGTAATAGTAATGGTAATGGTAATGATAATGGTAATGGTAATGGTAATGGTAATAGTAATGGTTATGGTAATGGTAGTGGTAATATCAATGGTAAACGTAATCGTAATGATAGTGGTAATGGTAATGGTAATGGTAATGGTATTGGTAATGGTAATGGTAGTGATAATGGTAATGGTAATGATAATGGTAGTGGTAATAGTAATGGTAATGGTAATGGTAATAGTAATGGTAATGGTAATGGTAATGGTAATAGTATTGGTAATAGTAATAATAGTGGTAATGATATTGTTAATGGTAATAGTAATGGTTATGGTAATGATAGTGGTATTGGTAATGGTAATGATAGTAGTTGTGGTAATGGTAATAGTAATGATACTGGTAATGGTAATATTAATGGTATTGGTAATGGTAATGGTAATGGTAATGGTAGTGGTAATGGTAATGGTAATAGTAATGGTAATGGTAATGGTAATGGTAATGGTAGTGGTAATGGTAGTGGTAATGGTAATGGCAATGGTACTAGAAATGGTAATGGAAATGGTAATTGTAATGATAGTGGTAATAATAGTGAAAATTATAATAGTAATGGTAATGGTAATGGTGATGGTAGTCATAATGGTAATGGTAGACGTTTCAGCTTTTCACTCACTCCCACCCGCCCATGCCACCTGAAACGTCTACCGACTGACCGTACTGAACTCGATATGTAGAAAAATCCATTGAGGTGCTGACTGCGCTGTGCCATCCGTCCTACCAGGGGAGTTGGCCTCGTGCTCTACCCCAGCCCAGCCCCACCTGCAAGGAGTCTGCAAGGAGCCCCAGCAGGTGTGTGTGTGCAGCGCCTTCTGGCCTCCTGTACATGCCTCGCTTCCTGTCCCTCACTCCCTACCCTACCCCATCCCATCCGCCCTTTCAGGGGAGTGGGCTACCCCGTGCTCTACCCCAGTCCCAGCTGCAAGGAACCTCTGGATGTGTCAAATGAGTTCACATTCGAGTTGATCAAGGGCGTTCTCACAGGTATGCTACAGAAAACGTGCATGCTGATCCTCTGGATGTCTCTAACGAGTTCACATTCGAGCTGATCAAAGGCGTGCTAACAGCTACGCTCGTATAATCAAGAGTCGCCCCAGTCCCACATGCAAGGAGCCTCTGGATGTCTCTAACATGTTCACATTCGAGCTCATTAAGGGCGTGTTAACAGCTACGCTAGGTTGCATTTTCCTGAGTACAATCAAGAGTCACCCCAGTCCCACATGCAAGGAGCCTCTGGATGTCTCTGACGAGTTCACATTCGAGCTCATTCAGGGCGTGCTCACAGGTACGTTAGAGATGAGGCTGCAATTCCTCCTCGTCTTTCCCTTCACTTTCACTGTCAGAGTTTGCTGCCAGCAGGATACATATTGGAGTCGAATCTTACCCAGCCCAGCTGATTGCCCCTTCGTAGCCCTTTTTTTTAGTCGACTCAATTATAGGCTGATTGCCCCTTCATAGCCCTTTTTTTGAGTCGACTCAATTATAGGCCGATTGCCCCTTCATAGCCCTTTTTTTGAGTCGACTCAATTATAGGCTGATTGCCCCTTCATAGCCCTTTTTTTGAGTCGACTCAATTATAGGCTGATAGCCCCTTCATAGCCCTTTTTTGAGTCGACTCAATTATAGGCTGATTGCCCCTTCATAGCCCTTTTTTTGAGTCGACCAAAAAATAGGCTGATTGCTCCTTCATAGCCCTCATTCCTGTTCATTCCCCTTTATTCGCCCTCATTCGCATTTGTTCCCCTTCACTCCACTTCAGTTTTCTTTCTTTCCCCTTCCCTCCTGCTCTTTTCCCCCTTTATGCCCCACACCCCCAATCAACCTCCCCTGCAGATCTGCGGACAGTGTTCACAGGCAGCAGAATACACATAGGCGGGGATGAGGTGAAGGAAGGTAGGGGACTGGAAGGGAGGGAGAGGGAGAGAGGGAAGGGGGAAGCGAGGGAGGAGAAGTGAGACCTGCGGACAGTGTTCACAGGCAGCAGAATACACATAGGTGGGGATGAGGTGAAGGGAGGTAGGGGACTGGAGGGATAGGGAGGGGGAGAGTGGGAAGGGGGGGATGAGAAAGGGGGAGTGGGAGAAGCTAAGAAAGTTAATCAGAGTTTAACCACCCTTACCCTCCCTGTCACCCTCCCATTCTTTCGTACCCTCCTATTCTCTCTCACCGTCCCGTGATTGCGCCCTCTTTCCTTCCTAACCCTGAAGTCTTTTTTGCCGCCTAATCGTCCTCATTCACCCATTCTCTCGTCTCGTCGCCCCTGTGACCCTGTATCTGCCTCCCTTCCACCAGTCGCAGTCTTTTGAGACATCTCAAAAGTCGTCGCCCCTGTGACCCTGTATCTGCCTCCCTTCCACCAGTCGCAGTCTTTTGAGACGTCTCAAAAGTCGTCGCCCCTGTGACCCTGTATCTGCCTCCCTTCCACCAGTCGCAGTCTTTTGAGACGTCTCAAAAGTCGTCGCCCCTGTGACCCTGTATCTGCCTCCCTTCCACCAGTCGCAGTGTTTTGAGACGTCTCAAAAGTCGTCGCCCCTGTGACCCTGTATCTGCCTCCCTTCCACCAGTCGCAGTCTTTTGAGACGTCTCAAAAGTCGTCGCCCCTGTGACCCTGTATCTGCCTCCCTTCCACCAGTCGCAGTCTTTTGAGACGTCTCAAAAGTCGTCGCCCCTGTGACCCTGTATCTGCCTCCCTTCCACCAGTCGCAGTCTGATTGCCCTTACCCTCCCATTCTCTCTTTCCCTCGCCTTCCTGACTCTGTATCGGCCTCCCTTCCACCAGACTGCTGGAGACAGTCTGAACGGATTTCCCAATGGTAAGCCATGGGCCGCTAGGATTGCTGTGATTCGACGCTGCTGTAGGATATATGTTTCATTGTGGCGTTTCATTGTGCCACCATGCTACCATGTTATCTCACCCGCTCAGTGGCAATCCCGCATTCGCCACTACCATAGTACGGTTACCATTCGTTGCTACAGTGCATCACACTTTTGGCATGTCCTAGTGACGTCTTTTGCTGATGTAACATACAGTAACCTACCAAGAAATGCCATACAATACGATATAGTGCATCTCACTCTGTAAATAGAGCTATACACATGCTTCACTTGCTTTTCCAGCTGTTGGCCTTTCTCCCTGTTCGTTCTGCCCCACGTCTCACACCCCCTCACAGGATGAATCAGCAGGGAATGCAGCCAAGGGATGCCGTCCGCCATTTCTCCAACCGAGTCCGATCCATTGCCTTGGAGTTGGGATGGGAGAAGACTATAGTATGGTATGTGTTTATGGTATCTAATTATGGTCTTGTCTCATCTCATCCTAAAGTCTGTGGTATGTGTGCTGTGGGAGTAAAAGATTGATTCTCGTTTCTCACAACCGTCTCTGGTAACCCTATCACTGAGTCTTGCTCGTTCCCCTCTTCCTCCCACTGCCTCTAGGGAGGAACCCTATCAGAGTTAGCTTTTGGTTCAATTAAGTTCTACCTCTTCGCTTGTTCATTTCTCCCTCGTACCCCCCTGCAGGGATTGATTTTTGCTGTTTCCCTCCTCATTTCTTTCCTCCTTCCCCGTCTGCATCCAGGGAGGAATCCTATCAGGGTTTCTCAGAGGACCTTAACAAGACGACAACCATTCTTCAAAACTGGTATGAAAATAATAATAATAATAATAACAATAATAATAATAATAATAGTAATAATAATAGTAATAGTAGAAATAATAATAATAATAATAATAATAATAATAATAATATTATCATCATCATCATCATCATCATCATCATCATCATCATCATCATCATCATCATCATCATCATCATCATCATCATCATCATCATCATCATCATCATCATCATCATCATCATCATCATCATCATCATCATCATCATCATCATCATCATCATCATCATCATCATCATCATCATCATCATCATCATCATCATCATCATCATCATCATCATCATCATCATCATCATCATCATCATCATCATCTTCATCTTAGATAGTCATATTTTCTCATGTCTAGAATACCAATGATTGTCATGTTCTCCTTTTTTCTTCATCTGGCGTAATGCTCTTGCTTCTGACCTGGCTCTGACAGAATAAAAATTTGCTTCGCCTTGTTTCAGGTTGAATGTTGACATTCTTGGAAGCATGGCTCGTGACAACTTTAAAATCATCTACAGCAATGTGTATGGCGGATGGTACCTCGACTCTATGGATGTGGTGAGTGGTTTATAACGAAATGCTTTGCAACGAGGACATTACTTGAGGAAACTTCCAGATTATCTACAGCAATGTTTATGGCGGATGGTACCTTAACTCTGTGGACGTGGTGATTGACTTATGGTGGAGCACTGTCAAAAGAGGACTTTATTAGAAGCAGACTTGTGAAGCCTTCCAAATTATCTTCAGCGATGTGTATGTTGAAATTTACTATAGCGGGTACATGGGCACAGCAAGTGCTGTAAAATGGGGCACTCAATAATAGGAATCTGGGCATGAACCATCCATCCAGTAGCTTATACAGAGGCCCTCATTATAACCTCCTCTTCCTCTCTTCTCCCTTTCCGTCTCATCCCCTATGCAGGATTGGAATAGAGTGTACAGTACGGAACCAACACAACACCTTGTAGTGGATGGCTCTGTACCGGAGCATTTATTGGAAGGGGGAGAGGTGTGCATGTGGGGGGAGAAGGTGGACTCGTCTGACTTCATGCCAACCATCTGGCCTCGAGCTGCTGCTGCTGCTGGTGAGCTGAAGGTCTTAGTCGTTCTGTTATGAGTGTTCTCTATTTACCAAATGAAAGGGCGCGAGGTGTGCATGTGGGGGGAGAAGGTCGACTCGTCTGACTTCATGCCCACCATCTGGCCTCGAGCTGCCGCTGCTGCTGGTGAGCTGAAGGGCTGGCTGGTGTACCACTGTGTTTCATTCCAATGAGTGTGACAATATGCTGGCTACTGGGAAGGGGGAGAGGTGTGCATGTGCGGGGAGAAGGTCGACTCGTCTGACTTCATGCCAACCATCTGGCCTCGAGCTGCCGCTGCTGCTGGTGAGCTGAAGGGCTGGCTGGTGTACCACTGTGTTTCATTCCAATGAGTGTGACAATATGCTGGCTACTGGGAAGGGGGAGAGGTGTGAATGTGGGGGGAGAAGGTCGACTCGTCTGACTTCATGCCAACCATCTGGCCTCGAGCTGCTGCTGCTGCTGGTGAGCTGAAGGGCGGGTTGTTTGGGGCATCGTTTTGTCTCATTATGATGAAGGGCTGGTTTGAGGACAGTTGCTTCTTGATAGCACGAGTAGGGTTTGTTGATAGCGAGTTTGTTGTTCTACTTGCTGGGGGGCACGAATGACACCTCCCACCTCTTGACAACTGGCTTCACTTGCTGCTTGTTTCCCTCCTTCCCCTCCCTTAGAACGCCTCTGGAGCACCAAGGCATATGCTGATGCGGCACTAGCAAGCGGAGAGGCAGATCAGAGATTGCACGTGTTCCGATGCCTGCTGAACAGAAGAGGGGTTGAGGCTGCTCCTGTGAGCAATGCAGTTCCCCGTTCCAATCCCGAAAACCCTGGGGGCTGTCTTGATCAATAAGAAAGTTTGGAATAGTTTGGTACCGTGGCCCATCGGCTAGACGTGTTCTGCCGGTTCCTTCTGAACCGGGGGGAATTGAGGCTGCTCCTGTCAGCAATGATGTGCCCCGAACGGCTCCCGAGTATCCTGGCAGCCGTCTTGATCAATAAAAAGTGTCCCAGCTGATCAATGATTGCATCTGATCTGATTGTATGCACAGGGAGCAGGAAATACTTGGCAAAAGCAGGGGAGATTGGGGGGTAGCAGGGAAGGGGCTCCCACGTATTCACATCACATCATGTACTTCATTGGACAGACGAAGAAGGGAGCTTATTCCTGTCCTGTTAGCAATCTTGTGCTATGTTTCCGAATGAAAATAGTTTTGGGGCTAGAAGCTGCTACATTTAGCAACTATATCTACACGTATTTCATGCTCCATAAGCTGAGTCAGAGCCAGGAGATACACTGCTTGCTCCGTAGCCATTGACTGGCTCGCGCTGCCTTAAAAATAACTATAGAATACATAGCCTTTTGAAATAATAAATCTTTTCACATGCTGAAGGCCACAACTGCCAGCAGCTCCCTCAGCCTCGCATCCTTGCACACCTGGTTGAGGCGCTCCCGGGTTACCAGCCTGAACGGGGAAGAGAGCAAGAGGGGATGGGGATGGGGAGGGGATGTGGGGAGAGAGCCATCACTAGAAGCAGCTCCCTCAGCCTCGCATCCTTGCACACGTGGTTCAGCCACTGCCGGGTTACCAGCGTGAACGGGGAAAGAGTGGAAGCAAGTGGGCGGGGATGGGGATGGGGAGGGGTTGTGGGGACAGGCCATAACTAGAAACGCTCATTCGATTTCACCTGCTTCGCACAAGTTGACTCGCTTGTGTGAGCTGAGGCCATCGTGATAATTCACCTGCCTCAAACCAAAACCAACTCACTTGTTTTGGCACACCTTTCCCCACTGCTATGACTTGACCATTGCTTGCTTCAGTTGCGCACTTGAGAATTTTCAGAGGCTGTTCTGATTGAGATTCACCAGCTGCAGAACTCACTTGTTTCGCGAAACCTTGCCCCAGTACTCTCTCTGACTTGAGCATTGCTCGCTTCAGCTGTGACTCAACCTATTTTCAGATGCAGCTCAAACATGACATCATACAAGCTGAATCACTTGTTTCACGAAACCTTCCCCCAATACTCTGACTTGAGCATTGCTCGCTTCAGCTGTGCATGAAAGAGACTTCAGAGGCAGGTGCAAGTGAGATTCACCCACTGTGACTCACTTGTATCGGGAGACCTTGACCCAATACTTACAACCTTACGCCAAAGCACTCACTTGTTTCGCGAAACCTTCCCCCAATACTCTGACTTGAGCATTGCTCGCTTCAGCTGTGACTTAACAAATTTTCAGATGCAGCTCAAACATGACATCATACAAGCTGACTCACTTGTTTCGCGAAACCTTCCCCCAATACTCCGATTTGACCATGGCTCGCTTCAGCTGCGGCCACAGCGGCAGGCACTCTGTACATGCTGACAGGGGTAAAGATGACAGGGACAAGACAAGGTTGTAAAAAAAAAAAAAAGGATATATAAGAAATGAAAGAAATAAGAATGCAGTGCACCACAAACAAAGGTCCAGTTGAAACGATGTGATGATGAGCAGTATCTACATGCTTCAAAGTATCAGCTTAACCATTTACTTACAAGCCACAGTGATATCCCAAAGCTCCTTGATTCCCGTCTCGCTACTGAATGATGTGCTATTCTGCCAGAAGAAAGCAAGGCGGCACAAACAAAGAGCGGAGCGGGAGAACGAAAAGTTGGGCAGCTTCTTGAATGCTGACTGTGATATGCAGGCGCCAGCTCACTCAATGAGAGCACCTATACTCCTCCCACCCGCCCACTAACGCAAACCACACAGAGCATAACCCACCCACTAACGCAAACCACACAGAGCATAACCCACCCACTAACGCAAACCACACAGAGCATAACCCACGCACTAACGCAAACCACACAGAGCATAACCCACCCACCCACTAACGCAAACCACACAGAGCATAACCCACCCACTAACGCAAACCACACAGAGCATAACCCACCCACTAACGCAAACCACACAGAGCATAACCCACGCACTAACGCAAACCACACAGAGCATAACCCACCCACCCACTAACGCACCTACAGACCCACCCACCCACCCACCCACCCACCCACCCGCCCGGTGGCCGAACTCGAGAAACTTGACAATGACGCCGAACGAGTTGGGCTGTTTCCAACAATGACACCCACCTGGAAGCCTCTCAACCCCACCCAACCACTCACCCGGAGGCTGAACTCGAGGAATTTCACGATAACCCCGAACGAGTTGGGCAGCTTCTTGAGTGCACCAGCTCGCTCAGTGAGGGCACAGTGAGGGCACAGTGAGGGCACAGTGAGGGCACATATACTCTCAGCACAGCCCAGCACAGCCCAGCCCACCCACCCGGTGGCCGACCTCGAGAAACTTGACAATGACGCCGAACGAGTTGGGCAGCTTCTTGTACGTTGCGAGGTCCAACCGCTTCTTCACCACGTCTTCACACGACAGCTCGAGAATGGACGCGTTGACGCACGCTGCTAGCGCCAATGTCTTGTAGGTGGTGCGGGGGTCATTGCCTGGTTCGGTTCAGCAGGGTATGGAAAGGTGGGGAGCGAAAGGTGGATGAGAGTGGAAGAAGGTCTGGCCGCTTCTTCACCACATCTTCATACAACAGCTCAAGAATGGACGCGTTCACACATGCTGCTAGGGCCAGGGTCTTGTACGTCGTGCGCGGGTCGTTGCCTGGTGAGGGTCATGGGAGGGGGGTGAGTAGGAAGGGAAAGTGGAGGGGGAAGAGTGGGAAGGGAGGATTGGAAGGGTGGAAGGTGAGCACCCTCACTGCTCACCTTTCACCCACACTGCTCACCTTTCACCCTCACTGCTCACCTTTCACGCTGCTCCATCCAGCCATGGCGGGCAGCAGCGGCACAAAGTCGTGTGGATCCAAGGGCACTCGCATTTTCTTCCGCTGCAAGTGGGGGAGAGGGGTGGAGAGGGGTAGAGGGAGGCAGAGAGGGTCAGAGAGGGGAGGAGAGGAGAGGCAGATAAGATGAATGAGAGGTACAGAAATAAAATGAGAAACCTGAGTTTACAAAATAGAATAGGACCACCCACAGGCATGCAGTCGCGTTACACGGGAGAAGATATAGAAACGCAGGAAAAATGCAATCAGTAAGGAAAGAAACAAACAGCTGAGGACCGAAACCAGTTTTGAGGCATCTCAGAAATAGAAAAATGTAACTATTACAAAAGAAACAAACAGCTGAGGACAACGAAACGAACACGTACGCATGCGAAAATGTTGAGGATGACGTCAGCAGCCTGCATGAGGCTGGCCTGTCCCTCCGGTCCCGACCGCAGCTGGTGATGCATGTTGGTGCGCGCTGTCTCCACCACGTAGTCTATGAGCTGATGGGATAAGAAAAGGGGAGGGACAAGGGAGGCGGGTGGGTGGGAGGACACACAATGCATGAGGCTGGCCTGCCCCTTGGGTCCTGACCGCAGCTGGTGGTGGTGCATGTTGGTGCGGGCTGTCTCCACCACGTAGTCTATCAGCTGATGGGGGGAGGGGACGAAGGAAGGAGGGAGAGGGGAGGTGAGAGACATACGGGTGCGTGTGATGTGACAGATGCACCAACAACGACTGCAGTATGTATGTCGGTTTGGACGATCACATCGATGTAAGTCGATGTGTGAGTACAGAGATTACAGTGAGTACAGAGAGTACAGGGCAATGCTGTATGAGAGACTAGATATTGTTTTCCGCTTTGTTTTTTATCTGTATGTTTCTACTCACGTGGATGTGGCCTCCTCTCTTGACCAATGACGTGCAGCCACGTGGCTCACTGGTAATGTGCACCAGCGCAGGCAGCATGTACCCCACGGAAAGGAGTGGCCTGGAGGAGGTGTGAAAAGGGGTGGAAAGAAAGTATAAAGTGATAAGGAGAGGTGTCGAGAGGTAAGGAAAGGTAAGGAATGGTAAGGAGGCATAGGTGATTGACAATGGCACAGACAGTAGGTACCGTCTTGCAGCTAGGAGTGGTCTGGGGGTGCGGGAGAGAGAGACAGGAGAGGTAAAGAGAGGTAGGGAAGGGAGTGGTGAGGACAGGCAAGGAATGGTAAGAAATAAACCCTTCCCTCTCTCTCCCCTCGCTTCCATCCAAAACCCTTCCAAACTCCCCTCCCAGACCCCCTTTCAAGCCTCTTTCTCCCCTGTCCCGTGCTCACCTTTCCTCCTGCTCACCTTTCCTCCTGCTCGCCCGTCACGCCAAGCAGGAACCCCAGCAGCCGCCCTGCCCTCTTCCTGTGAGCCGAGGGCGCAGCAGCGAGGCACGCCCCCACCACGCGCACACACGCCACCACCGCCTGCCCACACCACCACTCCCGCTGCTGCGCTAACTGCAGAAACACCAGCACATCTTTCAATGCTCCGTCCACCAGCATTGCACATAGCCTCACGGGAAGCCGTCTTTCAGAGTGTCGAGCTAGAGTCTGCCCATTGCTCTGAAGAAGAAGCCTTTCAGCTTTCGTTAGTAAACCTTCAGCCTCCCCTTCAGCCTGTTCTCCAGCTTTCGTTAGTAGACCCGCCACTGCTTCAACCAATCCGAAGCACCGGTCTAGCTGCTGCTGTGCCTGCCGAACCTCATCCGGAGGTCCGGTGCCCTCCGCACCTCCCCCGTCCTCCTCCATAGCTGCAAACTCTTCTATACTGAGCTCCCCCAGACCACCCTCCCCTCCCTCTCCCCCTCCTCCCCCTCCCCCTCCTCCTCCTGCTTCCCCATCCGCGTTAGTAGGAGGCTCCCATATCGCATCCTTCATATCTTTCACTACAGACCTCCAATCCTCATTCGTGGGCACTATAGAGTTCATTCTATCCAACCCTCCCCCTCCGCCTCCCCCTAACCCTCCGCCTCCCCCTAGCCCCCCGCTCCTCATAAGCCCACCTCCCCCCGCCCTAGCCAAGCCTCCCCCTTTGCCCAATCCCCCAGACCTAGCCAAACCTCCTCCTAACACTCCTGCACCTCCTCCTCCTCCCCCCAAACCTGCGTTCCCAGGCCCAAATCGGTCCAGATTTCCTCCCAGTGCGGCCCAAGCAGCATCTGCATTGAGCTTGCTCTGATCCGCCCAGCTGCTGCTACTCAGCTTACTCTGCTTGCTCAGATTGCTCTGCATGCTCTGCTCGGCTTTACTAATGCTATGCAGCCTGCTTATCCCTGTGCTGCTGCACGTGCTGATAGTGCTGCTTCTGCTGCCAGCGCTATACTCAACAGCCATTGCAGACGTGTGGTTACCAGCACTGAGAGTGTGGTTACCATTGAGCATGTGGTAACCACTCTCAGTGTTACTCTCCGCAATCTCTGCTGCTTCTCCGTTACAGTCTTCCCCATTCCTTTCTCGCATGCTGTTCTGCTCTAAGCCATGTTCTGGTTGATGCGGGTCAGTGATGGTTTCAGTAATGGGGTCAGAACTGGGGTCAGTCTTGGGGTCAGTTCCGGGGTCAGTGTCGGGGTCAGTGTCGGGGTCAGTGACAGGTTCAGCTTCAATTGTAAGACGAGCTAGGGTGTTGAGAAGACAAGGAATCTCCTGCTTGGCTGTTTGCATGAGAGCCAGAACAAAGCTGGGTGGGTTGGGGAGGGGGGGGGCGCGCATGGGGAGGGGTTGGCATGGGGGAGAATGCACAAGGGCCAGTCAGTGTCGAGAAGACAAGGAATCTCCTGCTTGGCTGTTCGCATGAGAGCCAGCACGAAACTGGGTGGGTTGGGGGGGGGGGGTGGGTGGTGGGATTGTTGGCATGGGAGGGGAAACACACAAGGATGACTCAGTGTTGAGAAGACAAGGAATCTTCTGCTTGGCTGCTCGCATGAGCCAGCACAAAACTGGGTGGATCAGGGATGGGGAGTGTGGGGGTTGGCATGGGAGAGGGGTGCATGAGGGAATGAAAGTGGAAGGGGGAGTGTTGAGAAGACAAGGAATCTCCTGCTTGGCTGCTCGCATGAGAGCCAGCACACAGCTGGGTGCGTTGGGGGGGGGTGGGTGGTGGGGTTGTTGGCATGGGAGAGGGGTGCATGAGGGAATGTAAGGGGGAGTGAGTGTTGAGAAGACAAGGAATCTCCTGCTTGGCTGCTCGCATGAGAGCCAGCACAAAGCTGGGTGCGTTGGGGGGGGTGGGGCGGGGGTGGCATGGGAGAGGGAAGGGGGGGGGCAGGAGGAGGGTTTGGAAGGGGCACTGTTGAAAAGAGAAAGGATCTCTTCCTTCAAATCATACGTGAAACAAACAAACAAACAAACAAACAAACAAATAAACAAACAAACTAACTAACTAACAAAAACAAAGGCTGTAAATTGCAGCTGTAAGCTTCCGGCCAAAGAGAAATCAAGGTAAGATAGACTTGAGAGGTCTTACCCATAGTCCAGTAAACTTTCTGGAGCAGACGAGTCAGGGGTATCTTCAGGTGTATTTTCAGGAGGCCCGGCGAGCCAGGAATTCCCAAGAATGCTGGTAACCACATGGGCCAGGTGAAAAGCGTCTGGTTGACTCTCAGGAGATGCTGGCAGAGGGGAAGCAGCAGGGGCGGGAAGGGGGAGGGGAGGAAAAGGCGGAGAGGGGGGGAAAGAAGGTGCCTTTGGCTGCCATGGAAACGATCTGCCATGGAAACGATTTGGCAGCCAACAACCACAGCAAGCATGGAGTCCAGAAATCAAGGCCCTTCAGATCAGATCAGACTCTGTGCAGTGCAGGCAGGCAGGCGACTTTCATGGTGGCATCAACCACCACCGACCTAAGCAGCCAAAAGGTGGGCCCTCAGGTATCATTCAGAAAAGGAAAGGTGGGCTTTGCAGTTGAGCTTGCAACGAGGGCAGATGCAGAACTAAGAAAGGAGAATGCACCTTGCTGAGCCGCAGTATGTTGAGGAGCCACAACGAATGAAGGGGAAGGAGGGCAGCACTAACCAGTGGAAGACAAGAGGATACTCTGAATGCCTGCCCGCAGGTCTGCCGCCCACACTCGACCTGCAATTATAGGCTCAAGGCTCTTCACGCCCTGCTGAACCAGACACTCCAACTGTTCCGGCTCAACGGTGCTTTGAGTAGCGCAAGACAATGCAGGGCGCAGGTGGCCCGGGCCAGAGTTGTGTTGCTGTTGAGTTGTTGGTGAGAGCAGGGTGAGCAGCAGGGTGACTATCTTGTGCTTGCTGCTGCTGTCTTCGCTTGCTGCTAGCTGCCTTGCTAGGGCTGGCACCTGGTAACCAGAGGGTAATAGAAAGGAGTGGTTTCAGGAACAGGAACGAGGCAATAAAACAGTTGGAAATTTCTGTGTACCCTGCAAGCGAGCGGTTGTGTTGAGACATGTCAAGGTGAGACGCAGTGCTGAGAAGAAAGAGGCCCCGCATTTGCATTGTGATTGCAAGCGTGAAAGGGCACATAAATGCGGATAGATCGATCACAGAATTGGTACATGGGAGAGGAAAAGTGGAAGAGGAAAGGCGGAAAGGGGAAGGGGGAGGGCGGAAAGGGGAAGGGGAAGGGCGGAAAGGGGAAGGGGGGAGGGGATAGCGGGGAGGGGCAAGCGGAAAGGGGGAAACGGAAATTGGGGAAAGGAGAAAGTGGGGGGGGGGGGGGGGGGGGTCTGATAAAGGAGAAAGCGGGGTAGGGGAAAGGGAGAGGGGGAAAGATGATGGGCGAAGGGGGGGCGACGGGGGGAAGGTACTCACCACAGCAGCAAGCGAGTCACTGTGCTGGGAAACATCGAGAGGAGACGCAGTGGTGAGCAGAAGGCTTAGCAGTTCCGTTGCAAGAGATGAGCAGGAAGGGTCTGTTAAAATGAAAAGGGAGCAGCGCAAGTGCGAGAAAGAGGAGGAGGAAGTGGAGGGTTCGAACGGAGAAGGGGGTGGGTGGGGGGAGAGGGAAGGGGTAGGCAGGTGTATGAAAGAAAGAGAGTGGGTTAACACAGCCCCGCTCCCTGCATACCTGAGAGTAGCATACCTGAGACGGCGGCGACACCGAGGAGACCTGCATACCTGCACGCCCGCATGCCTACCTCTGATCCCCGCGCCACAGCCAGCACACACAAACAGGCGTCTGGCCTCGTGCTTGGCCACTTATGTTGGTACCTGTGATGGCAGAAAGGGAGCTAGCGACCACTCCAAGCACGCCTTGCTCCCTGCATGCCCGCATGCCCACCTCTGATCCCCGCGCCACAGCTAGCACACACAAACAGGCGTCTTGGACGAGAGAGGCTGTCCGCCTGGAAGTTGTGGGGAGGGAGGGAGGAGGGGAAGGAGCAGCAGCACGAAAAAACCGAGAATGGAGAGGAAAGCAGGAGGCCTTGGGAGGTGTAAGTAAGCGCACACAGGCAAGCGTCTTGGACGAGAGAGGCTGTCTGCCTGATGGCTGTGTTGTGGGGAGAAGAGGAGGAGGGGAACGAGGGGGTGAAAGGGGAGGAAGGTCTGAGGCCATGCATAGGAGAGAGTTTGATCAAATCAATCAGAAAACAGGAGAAGAGGAAAGAATGCACAAGAACTTTACTTTTGAGAATTCTCAAAAGCACAAGAGGGAAGACAGGCCAGATGTTTTCGCAACATGCAGCACTCTCGCACAACTTTTGAGTCAACTCAAAAGTCCCTCCTGAGGTGACTTTTGAGTCGACTCAAAGGCCAGACGTTCTCGCAACACGCACGCACTCTAGCACAAAACGCACTTGCTCTCTCCCCACCCACACTGAGTGTTGAGACGCCTCAAAACATCCACTCACCCGTGAAGAATCATCTGGCTGAGAGGGTCCAGCAGGCGTAGCACAGGAGGCAGGCAAGCCAGTTCCGGTTGCTGAGTAACCACCACGAGTACAGACACGGCTGCTGCTGCTGGTGCCAGTGCTGCTGCCTCGAGCCCCTCCCCCATCACTGATTCTTCCAGCAGCGATCGAATGAAGTGAAAGGGCAGAGCGTCAAACACCTCATGCACCACGTCAGCATCCCCACCTGCCACGTGGCCTGCTGCAGCTACCAAACCTGCCGCCAAGTCAGCTTCGTCTACGCTCATCAGCAGCTGCAGACATGGTTCAAGAGACGTGGAAGCTTCGTGTGAAGGGGGTGCTGCTGAGGCAGCAAGAGGAGCATCTGTTGCATCAACAGCGGCAGCAGCAGGAGAGGGGGCAGCAGCAGCGGCGGTAGCAGGCGGAGAAGCAGCAGCAGCAGAGTATGCACCACCCTGCTCTGTTGCACTTTCCTCTTCTGTCATCCCTTCATCCCCTCCGCTATCTTCCCCAACTGAAACAAACCCTCCGCCCTCCTCTATCCCCTCCTCCTTCCCCCTCGTCTCCTCAACCACCTCAACCTCCACCTCCCTCTTTCTCTCCTCCTCAACCATCTCTGTCGCCTTTGGCCCTTCCATCTCCTCCTCTCTCTCACCCTCCTCCTCAACATTCCTCCCCCTTTCCTCCTGCTCCTCCTTCTCCTCCCCATCCTTCCGTCCCTCCTCCTCCTCTACTTCCACCCCTACCTCCTTTTTCTCCCCCTCCCCCACCCACGTGGCAGCAGGCGAACGCACAGCTGCATCGGTGACTATTGCATCATGAGGGGAAGATGTTTCCACAGCAGAAGCGGCTGAAGCAGCAAAAGCCGAAGCAGCAGAAGCCACAGCAGACGAAGGTGCACATGCAACGGCCATCCCTGCATCATAGGAAGGTGCAGCCACAGGAGCAGCGGCGCCAACAACGGCAGGAGCAGCAACAGCAGGGGTGACGGCAGCAGCAGCGGCAGCACCAGGTGCAACAGCAGCAGGAGCAGAAGGAGCAGGAGGAGCAGGATCAGCAGCAATAACTCGCAGCAGCCCTTCAGTAACATAAGGCGCAAGCAGTGACGACCCACCAGCGTCATCTAAGCCATCACTGTCGTGTGGTGCCTCCGTGCTGCTGTGAGCCGGTCCTTCATTCATGGTCAGTTCTAGCATACCATGTTCCACAGCCTTCGCCTCGGCAAGAGGAACAGCAGCAGGAGGAGCAACCGGAGGAGGAGCAGCAGCAAGAGAAACAGCAGTAGGAGAAGCAGGTGCAGCAGCGGGGGCGGCAGCAGCAGCAGAAGCAGCAGCAGCAGCAGCAGCAAGAGGCACAGCAGGAGGAGCAGGCACTGCAGCAACAGCATCAGCGACAGTTGCAGCAGCTGCACCTGCAGCAAACGCCGAAACCTCTTTCTCTTCCTCCACAACTGATGAATTTTCTCTGTCTCCGACTGGATGGCTAACAGAATTCGCACTAGTCACTTCGTCTTCCGTGTTATCCGCTTGTGAAACCCCAGGCCCTTCATGCCTTGGCCCTTCGTCCACCTCCATTCGCGAAGGGCCAGCGAACGTCTGGCGAACTTCGTCATCGTCCAAAACCTTGACGTTGGTTTTCTTGAGCGGGTTTCCCAGAAGCAGGTCCGACGACTGCGACTGCGACGGCGACGTGTGCGATTGCGACGGCGACGTGTGCGACTGAGATGGCGACGCGTGCGACATGTCTGGCGACGGGTCTGCCGCAGCAGAAGCGCCGCTGTCAGCAGCTTTAGCAACATTACCAGGGACCGCTTCAAGTTCCTTTTCACTTCCCGACTCCTTTCCAAAGGACGATCTTGATCCATTTTTGCGTCTGGCAGTCGACGGTCCAGATACAGACTTCCCACCAGTCCCGCTGCTCGATTCCGAACATAGGGACGAGGAATGGGACGAGGATCGATCTCGGCGCGATCGGGACTGCAGCAGGCCGAGAAAACCTCGCTTCCCCGGGGAACGGCTCGCTTGCTGTAGCTCCGGCGTGCCTGGTTCGGCTAGAGGCTCGGTTGAAGGTCCGGTAGTAGGTTTGGATGGTTTGAGGTCGGGAGACAGGTGGTGTTTGATCGTCTCTTTCAGAGAACGAGTGTGCGTGAAAGTGTGACCGTTGGGAGTGTGACTATTTTGGGAGTGATACTTGGCGCTGTGACTGAACGGCCACATCCCTCGCAGGAACGTGCCATAAGCGGGTTTGCTGCGCGGTGAAGGTCGGTCGTCTGCGGTAACTCTAGTATCGACTCCATCGGCTTCGAACTCTTGAGTCTTTAGTTCTGCCATTTTCAGAGCACGCATGCAATTGAGTGGCGGACTTCAAGCGAATGGCAGGAGTAAATTGTGAAACGTGAAAAGAGGAGTGAGTGTTGGTCGAGATTGACTGCTAGGGACTGACGAATTAGTACTCGGATCGGCCAGAGCCAAAATATGTCATTGCCTGCAGCACATGCCTTCCTGCCTAGAGATAAACAAGGAAGACAGAAATAATAGCTGAAAAATACAATTGTACGCGTGACTGCTGCTAAGAAACGTTATCCGCAAGCACTCTAATTGCTCACGTGCTAATCTGTTAAAATACTAGATTCTGCTGGACAATTTTCCCTAATGTCAGCAGTCATATACGTAAGACTGCCAGAAAAGTCAGGAAGCAAATGATACAACTAGCTTCGCAGCTCAAGTTAGTAAACTAGCTGAGGTAACTGTTGATAAGAAAGTTAGAACCACGAAATATGTAACGGAAGGAAGCGAAAATGACATGGAATGAAAGAGAAATTGGCTGGAAATATGAGAGGGTGCGTTGCGGTCCAAGACGGTGATAAGCAGTACCTGCTTTGTACCGCCTGGAAATTTACTGAACCGCACTCGATTACCAATGGACAACCACGCCACTGTGCAGCAGGAGACGGACGGCCACTAATTTATCTCGATCGACCCAATCCAACCACCCATAAATCCGTCTGCGGCATCAGCGGTGGTGGGTGACAGACATCAGAGCGAAGGGAGAGCAGGGCAGTAGTTCTCCAGGCGAAGCCTCGATTATTACGAGCTGCTAGTTACACGTAATATGACTGGATGACGACATTCCGAGTGTTGTATTTGCGAAGCCAATCCTCTCGTGAGCGTTACCCATTCATACGCGAAGAAAGTTGTTGATGACTGTGGGTGGGCTCGCTGCATCCCGTTTGTTGCTCTGCCAGCCTTCCATCTGGGGAACAGGCTCGCAAAGCTTGGCTTTCAACAACCCCATCTCGACAAGAGATTGATCCTCATTTATGAGTTATACATCTACACACTAATTACACAAATCTACCCATGACAGGTTACAGTTCTCAACATATATTGATCAACTTGCAACTTCACCTCAACAAATTCCACATATATTGATGCTGTGGCCAGGCTTGCACCAACAGACGTTTCTACCTACACATTGGTTAAGAACTCGTGTCAATATTGTTACAAGGGAAGCAAGCACCATAAGAAGCTTAGGTTTCTTATGTTGCTGCCACAATATATACCATCATAACGCGTGGAACAGTGGGCCGGTAGAGAAATCAGAGTATCACTATATTTAATGCCCCAAGGGTATGGGCAAGGCCGAATTGATGCCTTCTAGTCGCAGTTAAGGAAGCTGGGCTCCATGAATTGGTAGACAACGTTCCTCCTCGCATCTCGAGTCACATTGCGGACTCCGCACTCCGACTCGTCATCGAAAAGTAAGCAGCTGCCTCGGCAGGATGGAACCTTGTAACTGCACATCAATAGCAGGCGCAGGGAAGATTGGATTTTTAGGCGCCTCAAATATCCTCTGCAGGGTGAAAACTTCTAATAGCACCTACAGTGGCAAGGTGAAAGAATGTCATTTAGCACCTGTTCTCAGCAAAGGCTCACAGGCTGCACTAGCTCGTCCTTATTCTGCTGTGCTTGCACCCTGGCACATCTGCTGAAATGAGACGAGTTTTGAGGCGCCTAAAAAAACATTGTCTCTCACCTGTTTTCAACGAAAACCCACAGGCTGTAGTAGTTCTTGTACTGCTTCGTCTGTGAATGGGCCCACTGGCACATCTGCTAACATTTAAATCGCCTAAAAACTCACAGCTTTACAAGCGCCTCATAACCCACCTATTCTCAACGAAGGCCCAGAGGTTGCAATAGTTTGGGGAGTGCTTCGTCAGTGACTGGGCCCTCTGGCACATCTGCTGATACTCCTCTGGAAAAGAAGTGCCACTAGATCTGGATCTCTCACCTGTTTTCAACGAAGGCCCAGAGGTTGCAGTAGTTCGGGTACTGCTTCCTCTGTGACTGCGCCCTCTGGCACATCTGCTGGCACCGCTTGGCCGAAGCAGCTTTTGTGGCATTATTGAGATTGGAGAGCTCCCCCGTAAGCTCTTGAATCTGCTTGTAAGGGGGAGGAAAAGGAGAGGGTGCAGGGAGGTAGAGGGAGATATATGAGGTTCTTACACAGGCAGAGCACTTGGACTGGAGTGTATATCCCCTGCCTTGCCGGCACAACCTTTCCTCACCGCCACAGGGCACGCCCTACTGTCTGTCACATTCACCCTCTTTACAGTCACATCCACCCATCTTATTATCCCAACCACGCACCTTGTCCACGCTGCCACACACGCTGCAGCGCCCCTTCTGCCCTGAAAAGAACCCCTCGGCGCAGGCCACACACTTGGACTCGATTGTGTACCCCTGCTTGCACACAGTGCAGGCTTTGGCCGGGTCGAACTGGTTCTGGCACTTGCAGTAGGGGTTGAGATCTGAGTCCAGAGCACAGGTGCCGCGGCCGTTACAATCGCCAGAGCAGCCAGTGCAGCCACTGGGAGGGGGCAAGGGGAAAAGGAGGGGGGAAGAGGGGATGACAGGGGCGGGGAAGAGGTGGGATGGGAAGAGGAGGTTAACAGAGGGTATGAATTGCAGTGCAGGCTTTGGCAGGGTCGAACTGGTTCTCGCACTTGCAGTAGGGGTTGAGATCTGAGTCCAGAGCACCGGTGCCACGGCCGTTGCAGTCGCCAGAGCAGCCCGTGCAGCCACTGGGAGGGGAGGGGTTGTTAAGGGATGGGGGAAGGCTTTGGCAGGGTCGAACTGGTTCTGGCACTTGCAGTCGAGTCGTTAAGGCAGCCAGTGTAGCCACAGGGAAGGGGAGGCGAAAGGGGTTGGAACGAGGAATAAACAGAGGGCATGAGGTTCGTGGTGGCTTCAGCAGGGTGGGTTATTGCACCATCCCTGATACCAGGGCTCACATTTAAGCACAGAAGCCTCACCTGCAGCTCTGGAATTCCTTCAAAGCAGGCGTTTTCCGAATCCGCCTGGGCTTTGTGCTCCCACACACGGTAACCGTGCCGTCGCTCGTCCCGGTGTTCATGTCATTCGACACCAGGTACACCGGCGCCCTGTTGCGCTGGAAGTTTCTCCTGCGAAAGAGGAACCCTACTTCCAGGGCCCAGACTTCTCACCTGCAGCTCTGAACTTCCTTCAAGGCAGGCGTTTTCCTTATTCTCCTGGGTCCCGTGCTGCCACACACGGTAACCGTGCCGTTACTTGTCCCAGCGTTCATGTCATTCGATACCGGGTACACCGGCGCCCTGTTGCGCCGAAAGTTGGAGTTGCAGAACTGGACTTTCACGTCCTGCGCTTGCATGGAGATTGCTCCTCCCCGCCCGTTCACCACTGTGTTGGCGGAGAATCGCGTCCCGATGGAGGTGAGGATCGGGCTTGTGGTGAAGATGGCACCCCCGCCACGCGCTGAGGGGGGAAGAGGGAAGGGAAAGGGGAGAAGAAGCAGGGAGGGAGAAAAGGAGAGGTGGGGCTGGAACGAGGGTTATCACTGTGTTGGCTGAGAAACACGTGCGGATGGAGGTGAGGTAGGGGCTTGTGGTGAAGATGGCACCACCGCCACGAGCTGTGAGGGAATGAGGGGGTGGGGGGAGAGGGGGGGGGGGAAAGCGGTAGGAGTGGTGAGAACAGCGACACCCTGTTGCACTGGAAGTTGGAGTTGCAGAACTGCACCACCGCGCCCTGCGCTTGCAGGGAGATTGCACCGCCTCGCCCGTTCACCACTGTGTTGGCTGAGAAACACGTGCGGATGGAGGTGAGATAGGGGCTTGTGGTGAAGATGACACCACCGTCACGAGCTGCGGGGAAACAATCGGAGAGGCAAGGGAGGAAGGGGAGATATGGAGTTGGGTGGAACGAGGGTTACTATCATGGTACTGGGGATTCGAGTGGTGATGGATGTGAGGTAGAGGCCTCTGGTAAAAAAAGCACCACCGCCACGAGCTGAGGGGAACGGTGGGGAAGGAGAGGAGAGGAGAGAGGGAGAAAAGAAAAAACGAGCCTGTGTGTTTGTGTGGCTTTCAACAGTGTTTTGAAAACAGATCGACTAACAGTGTCTCAAAGCTGGTCAAAAGATGAGCGTTTGTGTTTAGTGTGTTACCACCGAATGAGCTCATGGCTGTGTGTGCGAGTGGTACAAAGATATGAGCAAGTGTAATTACCAGCGGTGTTCTGCGAAAACGTCGACTGGCGCAGGTAAATCTCACTCCCTTCGGAATAAATCGCGCCTCCGCTGCCTCCCGCCGAGTTTTTATTAAAAGTGCACTTCGCAATTTTCACATCCGGCCCTCCCGTTGGGTCCCTCCCCACGTTGATAACGGCGCCATTTCCGGCCGCGGTGTTGTTGAGGAAGACGCACGTGGTGAACTGCAGGGGCGAGCCAGCCGTGGGTGAGCTGTCCCTAGAGCTGGATGGGAAGATGGGACAATGGGGCATAGTGGAAGAAAGGTGGTGAATGGCAGGCCCTCCACGTTGATGACCCCGGTACTCCCATCAGCGGTGTTGTTAAGGAAGACGCACGTGGTGAACTGCAGGGGCGAGCCAGCCGTGGGTGAGCTGTCCCTAGAGCTGGATGGGAAGATGGGACAATGGGGCATAGTGGAAGAAAGGTGGTGAATGGCAGGCCCTCCACGTTGATGACCCCGGTACTCCCATCAGCGGTGTTGTTAAGGAAGACGCACGTGGTGAACTGCAGGGGCGAGCCAGCCGTGGGTGAGCTGTCCCTAGAGCTGGATGGGAAAATGGGTGAGACAGCGGGATATGGCGGGAGAGAGACGCGTGAGTTGATAAGTTATCCACTTGACTGTTCCCGGCCCGATGTTGTTGAGAAAGACGCAGGTAGTGAGTCGAAGGTGCGATCCAGTGATGAGTGAACTGGAGCTCTTATCCGCCACGTTGTCCTGGAAAGTGACTCGGCGCGCAGGGGCGAGGCAGTAGTTGAGGATTGAAGAAAGGCTTGAAAATAGATGTTGAGGCTGTTTCTAGGTGCTGCACTCACTTGAAAACTGCCCCTCCAGTGGAGCTCTTATCCGCCACGTTGTACTGGAAGGTGACTCGGCGCGCAGCGAACTGGCAGGCGCCCACGTGCACGCCGTTGAGCGCGTGCTGCACCACCAGGTTCTCCAGCACGATGCCGCACGCGAAGTTACCCGAGAATATGCGAAACTTCTTGTTGCCGTCGACGACGCAACTAAGGGGAAGGAACGGGGGGATTAGGAGAGCGAGGGGCGCGGGAAAACGGGTCGCTTCAGGAAAAAGGCGTGGGGAAAACAGTTGAGGTGAGAGAGCTGTCAGGGAGGTCTCGAGCAAGAAAGTATCAAATCATGAATGGTCAACAATCACGAATATCGAAGACTAACGGCACTTGACGTGGTAGAAACAATCAGAGGATAGTAGACCACACATGCCGACTCTTGAGTTCGTTTAAAAATCACCTTGTCTTAGCAGTAAGGAATATCCAGGAAGTATAGGGAATTACTCACACTTTATTTTTCCTGCTCTCGCAGTCGCCTTTTAATATTATTCCAGAAGCGAACCCGAGGGCAGGGAACCCACTGCGCGCAGCACGCGTGGCGAAAGGAGGGGACACGAACGCGAAAAACTAGGTGAGATTACCACGTTACAGAGCTTGGGCTAAAACCGGCTGCTGGAAATCTCACTGAGGTACTATTGAGGTGGTAACAGACCTTAATTGAAATATTATTAAGGTAGAATGGCGCACTCGCATGGTAGATATTGCAATGGAGGGACAGTAGCATTGAAATGTATGCTTGCCTGGTAAGCGTGATGTCATTCTTGAGTGTCACCTCCACCATGGCTGTCTGCCAGATACGGAAAATGCAGGTACGAGTGTAAGATGGATGTACCCAGCGGCGAAAGGAATACCCAACGGTGTCGATGCCATGGTATCAATGACGGATTCAACAGACTGGCACTGAAATGCTGAAATGTCAGGCTTGAAAAATCAGCACTAAATGCTGAAGGACAGTCTTATTCGTGGTTTTACTTTGGAGCTTGCTTGAGCTATCGCGTTCCGAATAGTCGACTCCGCGCTGCTGCCGCTCGCGATGACGAAGATCGTCGGCTTCTTGATGAAATTTGACGAGCCCTGCGACAGAATCCGTCGCTGGCCCTGTCGCTCATTTCCTGCACATGTTCGCACGCGAATCAGATTCGTAAGATTGAGTGTACGTAAGGATCTTAGCTACAGGAGAACCATGGGCAACATTTCCGCGCAACATTGTAAGAATGAAGCAACATTGTATCAGAATGGCATCATTTCCGTGCAAATCATTGCCGTTGGAACTCACTTAGGGGTTGGAGTGCTTCAGCATCGCGTGAGCCGACAACCAGAAGTACTGCTACGAGCACAAAAGACGCAACTCTCTGCATCTTATTAACGTGTCTTAACGGCGAGACGAGCAGCCTTGATAAGTGTTAAAGCAGCGCTTCAGCAGGAAGTTCTGGTACTTCCGCGTCGAGTGCTCGTAGCGTCCCGCAGCATAAGCGAAGTGCGAAGTGCGTGACAGATCGCAGAGAGCTTCGAGATACAGCGAGGTGCAGTGAGGTGCAGTGATGTACAGCAAGATGCTGAGATACGTCAGCTGAGAATGAGGAGATGAGGATTCTAAAAGGTCAGATAGAAATAAGGATAAGAGGACTTCTTTAAACCATTTATAAATAATTCGAATGCTGGTGGGAACGAGATACTATGCCAACTCTCAGCTCAAAGCTTTGTTCTCTATGGCACCCTTATCTTCTCCCTGTGCTAGAAACGGTATTATTGGTGCGCTGCAAAACACGACGTTATAAGTCGCTCAGCTGGGTACTAAAGTACTGCTGAGCTTCCATTCCTTCCTAGCACTTCCTAAGACGAGCAATAGTGGCTGGCAGCTTTCTGGCTTGTGTTGTATGGCAAGCAATGGTTTCACTTTTCCTTCTTTTATTGCCGTTTACTTCACCAATTTTCACCGTTGCGAAACGGAATGAACCTTACCAGTTCCTTCGTAAACGATCAAATGTGACCCGCCCAATATGAATTCCTCGAGATTGGTTTTACCTTGATGCTGGTGCAGCGGCACCGTTGGATGGGGGGATCGCCTTGCCGTGTCTTGCGGCGAGATTGCCCTGCCTTGAGAAATGCGAGGGACATGACGCAACAAATCGACACGGCTCGGCAGTAGCCGTCAAACACGACTGACGGCGGACGTGTGTACTTCGAGCCGCGAAACTTCAGGTGCGACCATTTTCGTGCAGAGCTAAAAACTGACCTGTAACACTATTTATGAGACATTAAGTATCTCCATTAGGTACTATTCCATGAAACGAGACCCACTGCATGGGGTCGACTCTCTACCGTATGTGTTGCAAAGCCAAGGGCTCCGGACGATTAACCTAAATCTGCTGCAATTGCGATACAATAGGCGGGGGAACGCGGGCCATGGCGGCTTGAAAGAGCTGCTCCCCATGCACCGCCACACACGCCTGCAGTTTCTCCTTGAGAAACGGCCCCACTGCTACCCGATGCACGGGGTCTATGGATGCCACTTGCCGCCGCCTCAGTGCTTCGCACTCCACGGGTGCTCCTTCCCCTCCTTGAATGGAATCTGAAACTGAAGCATAGTCGTAGCTGCAGGGTGAGGTGAAGGGGGGAGTGGAGTGGGGTAAGAATGGGGACAGACCAATGCTACCCGGTGGAGATGCCAGGCAGCAGCAGTATGTTGTCAGGGTTTTCCTCCCCCAGAGAGCCGGTACAGACCGAGAGAATGAGATCGAGCCAGCAGCATACTTGTAGCAGCAGCAGCATGGAGGGCAGCAGCAACTCACCCAACAGTGGAGATATCTGGCAGCAGAGGCGTGTTGTCGGGATTGTCCTCCCCCAGAGAGCCAGTGCAGACTGAGAGAATGAGGTCTAGTCTCTCTAGTATCTGTGGCTCTGGCATTGTCAACAGCACTGCGAGGGCCAGAGTGGACAGCTTTCGTTTCGCCGGGACTGAGACAGAGTCGACCTGAGGGGAGAGGGAATGGGAGAAGGGGAGACGGAAGGGAGAGGACAAGAAACAGAGGCGGTGCAAACGCTGAGAATGAGGACGATTTTCTCTAGTATCTGCGGCTCTGGCATCGTCAGCAGCACTGCGAGGGCCAGACAAGAGAGCTTTCGCTTTGCCGGGACCGAGACAGAGTCGACCTGTGGGAGAGGGAGGAGGGAGAGAGGGGAGCAGAGAGGGACGATGAGAATGAGGTCAAAATATTTCAGTAAGAGGCAAGAAAGAGTTAAAAATACAGGGAGGAGAAAAGGAGTTGCCAGCGAGAAATAGAGAGAAGAGAGCAGCGGTAGGGCCCACCTTATCCAACCAAGCGTCCAGGAAGAGGGCGAGGGGAGGAGCGTTGCCCTTTGCTGCTGACTGCTGCTGCAGGTGGCGGGTGGAGTCGGCAGATATGAACTGGGCGAAGTAGGAGCTGTTTTGCAGCACCACACGTGCGAGCACTGTAGCGCATGTGCCTCTAACGAGGTCAGAGTATTCCGTTGGTCCCACGATGATCAGCAGCAGTTTCTGCAGGAAGGGGTGAAGAACGGGAGGAGGAATTGCTCGACCAAGAAATCGAGGAGTGAGGAATGGAGGGGGAGGCGATGGAGGATAAGCAGCTCACAATACAAGAGCATGACCAATGGACGGAAGCACAGACTTGCCTTCTTACTAAAAGCAGCAATCAAAACAGCAAGAAAGCAGACTTGCTTCTGGTGCAAGTTAAAGTTAGAGGAGCACATCAGGGAAGGGGTTGTCCATTCACTTAGTGCATTGAGGCTACTGAGGTTGTCCGTTGACTGAAGCTATGGACTGTTACCTGAAGTACTGACTCGAGGGCAGGAGGCGCTTCTGCTGGGTAGCACTGCAGAAAGAAACACGGGGCGATAAGAAAGAGACCATTCTGGGGGTCACCGAAAACAGTTTCGTGGCCAGAGCATCGGCTAGGTAGCACTGGTGATGTGGGTGATCTAGCTAGGTACTTTTCTCTGCGCATGGGCTAGGTAGAACTGCTGAAAGAAGCACTAGGATGAAAATACAGTCCTTCAATTGCAGCTAAAGAAATAAAAATCCGGTCTGCTGAAAAATGAACGACAGTTTTGATCACAGCTTGCCGCACAAGTCCATCTCCCTCACCTGGATAATCAAGTCTACAAGTCCCGCCACCAGCAGCATCGCCTTCTCCTTCACGCTCGCCACCACCGCGTCAATCATTGTCACCAGGCTCCCCGAGGGCTTCTTTTCTCAGGGAGTGCAGTTCTCAGGGAGTGCAGTTCTCAAGGTGCGCGGTTCTCAGGGTGCGCAGTTGAGAGGTGCCTCAAGTTCCAGTCCCTCACCTGAATGATAAGGTCGACTAGTCCCGCCACCAGCAGCATCGCCTTCTCCTTCACGTTCCCCACCACCGCATCAATCATTGTCACGAGGCTCCCCGCGTGCTGTTGCAGGAATGCCGGCCCTCCCACCAGCACATAGCTCTCCATTATTGCCGTTGCAACCTGCCAGTTGGGAGTGGGGAACAGTCAGCGTAGCGTAGGTAGGGTAAACATTAGAAACATGCAGGCAGTAGACACACGTGAAACACACAGGCTGTAGACACGAGTGAAACACACAGGCAGTAGACACACGTGAAACACACAGGCTGTAGACACACGTGAAACACACAGGCTGTAGACACACGTGAAACACACAGGCAGTAGACACACGTGAAACACACAGGCAGTAGACACACGTGAAACACACAGGCTGTAGACACAAGTGAAACACACAGGCAGTAGACACACGTGAAACACACAGGCTGTAGACACACGTGAAACACACAGGCTGTAGACACACGTGAAACACACAGGCAGTAGACACACGTGAAACACACAGGCAGTAGACACACGTGAAACACACAGGCAGTAGACACACGTGAAACACACAGGCAGTAGACACATGTGAAACACACAGGCAGTAAACACTCTGGCTTAGTGTGCTCACCCCAACACGTACCTGGCAATGTCAATGGCTTACCGGAAGATGCTCAAAGCTGCGGTCCATGATGGGCACGAGGTTGGCGAAGAGAGCCATGAGCTCTGGCACCATGGCTGGTGCATGGCGCAGTGTGGCCTGCCATAGCTGCGAGGAGGAGTGGAGGGGGTATGTGGAGGGCAGTGGTATGTGGAGAGAGTGAAAATAAGAGCCATGAGTTCTGGTACCATGGCTGGTGCATGTCGCGGTGTGGCTTGCCATAGCTGCGAGGAGGAGTGGAGGGGGGAAAATGGAGAGAGTGAAGAGAGAATGAGAGGAGCGAGTGCAAGAGAGAGCCATAAGTTTTTGCACCATGGCCGGTGCATGTCGCAGCGTGGCTTGCCATAACTGTGGGGAGGGAGGTGTGGTGAGAGAAGACATAAGCAAAGGAGAGAGCTATGATCTATCGGTATGGTGCTGAAGAGAACCATGAGTTCCGGTACCATGGCTGGTGCATGGCGCAGCATGGCTTGCCATAGCTGTGAGGAGTGGAGGGGTTCGTGGAGAGCAGGATTTCATCAGGCTTAGAGATGTCGGTGCTGTATCGTAGAATGGGGAAGAGCAGAGAAGGGTACGACGCATGTCTTTCGAGGAGAACCAAAAGGCACACATTAAGCGAGGGGGGGAGTGTTTTGAGACGTCTCAAAACACATTAAGCGAGGGGGGGAGGGGGAGCAAACAGAAACGGTCTAGCTGAAGAGGCAGCGGGAGACGTGCTGAGCTCATCGGGCTGGGAGACGTCGGTGCTCTATCGCCGGATGGGGAAGAGCAGCGGGTGGGAGACTCTTCCAAAATACCCTTTGCTATGAGTGTAGGAATGGTTTACCTGCAAACCGTCTTCTAACATGTTGAGCTCATCCGGCTGTGAAATGTCAGTGCTGTATCGCAGGATGGGGAAGAGCAGCGGGTAGGAGATAGGGGACTGCGGGCCGAGAGACACGATGAGCCGCTGCAACGCCTGCATGACCTGAATGCGGAGCAGCGGTTGCCCCTCTGATTGCTCCCACACCTGGCGGTGAGAGGGGAGCAAAAGGGAGCAGGGCAGCAAGGTTTGTTACGGTATGGATAGGTGCCACAGAAACATATGGGAATGGGAGAGCAGTGGGTAGGAGATGGGGGACTGTGGACCGAGTGACACGATGAGCCGCTGCAATGCCTGCACGACTTGAATGGGCAGCAGCGGCTGCCCCTCTGATTGCTCCCACACCTGGCAGTGAGAGGAGAGGGATTGATGGGAGCACAAGCACGGGGAATAAGAAGTGTGAGTTGCTGCAGTGCTTGTGCAGCAGCGGCTGCCCGTCTGATTGCAACAAAACCTGATGATAGAAGGAGAAAGACCACAGAGGGTAAAGAACAGCGGGCAGAGGGACACGGAAAGAGAGAAACTTGATATTTGTCAGCCAGAGAGGAACACCAAGAGTGGCAGGGGCAGGGCAGTTTAAGCAACTCGCACCAGCAATCCTTAGTGGCACAAAATAAGCGGCAAGCAGCGCGCACGTTTTTTTTTTTTTTTTCACACTCACCTGAGGCAAGCAGGACAGCATTTTGTCGGCCAGTGGAACGATCTTCTCCCCCATGCGCTCTATGATGAGAGACACCAGACAAATATAAGAAGCCAGATCAGCAGTCTTCTTGGTAAGACCAGCTATGCATCCCACAGGTGTTCATCGCACTCACTTGAGGCAAGCATGAGAGAATCTTGTCAGCTAGAGGAACGATCTTTTCCCCCATGCGCTCTATGATGAGAGACACCACGTTCACTATCTGCAGCTGCGAATCAAATTCCGACACCTGTCAGTGATGGAAGGGGAAAGTGACGCACAGAGATAGTAAAAAGGGAAGCGCATGAAGAGCCTGCCAGGGAAAGGCTTCTCTTCTCCCCCATGCGCTCTATGATGAGCGACACCACGCTCACTATATGCAGCTGTGAGTGTGCATGGCATTATGTAAATTATGTGCATGGCATCACCTGCTGCAGGCATCGAAAGAGCAGCTGCACGGCCGTGTCGAGAAAAGGAGCGAATTGGTCCTCATAGAAATGCACATCGTCTATGAGTGTGCGGAGAGAAGAGACTGCTGTGAGCTGTATAAGGGGGGGTTGTGCGGGAAGGGAAGTGGGGGGAGGGTGTGGGGGGAGTTAAGGAAACAATGTGTGATGGAGTGAACGGGTCCTTATAAAAATGCACGTCGACTAAGAGGCAAGCACAAGGATGAGACTGCGATGAGGTGAATTTATTGCATTAAACTTCACAGAACCGCACTGAACCGCATCTCACCTGCACGACGAGGTCTTCGTCTGGCAGCAGGGAAATGAGCGCGGCACACACAGGTCGCCCTCCACCTTGCCCACCCACTGCCCCACCATCCACGCTGCCCGCCCACCAGCGGATGATACACCCTGCACTGCACTAAACTGCACTAAACCGCACTGGACCACACTGCACCGCACTGAACTTACCTGCACAACTAGATCTTCATCTGGCAGCAGGGAGATGAGCGCCTGGTAGGCTGGCACGCAGAGCTCCCCCTCCACCTTGCCCACCCACTGCCCCACCATCCACGCTGCCCTCCCACCAGCAGATGCTACAACCTGCACCGCACTGAGCCGCACTGAACCGCACTGAACCGCACTGAACCGCGCTGAACCGCACCGAACTCACCTGCACCACCAGGTCTTCATCTGGCAGCAGGGAGATGAGCGCCTGGTAGGCTGGCACGCAGAGCTCCCCCTCCACCTTGCCCACCCACTGCCCCACCATCCACGCTGCCCTCCTGCGCAGGATGCGCGCGTTGGGATGGCGGCATGCCATGTCCGGGAGAAGCGCAGTGGTGAACCTGGGTGGGAGGGTGTGAGGAGAGGGGGAAAACTTTTGCTTCAACTCGAGTGCTAAGACTTGCCCACCCACTGCCCCACCATCCACGCTGCCCTCCTGCACAGGATTCGCGCGTTGGAGTGACGTCACGCCATGTCTGGTAGGAGCGCTGTGGTGAACCTGAAAGGGATTGTGGGGGAAAAGGGAGGGAAAGTGTAAGGTAAAGCAACAGCACCAACCCCACAACACATCGACATCAGGCACGTGAAAGAAACGTATGGAAAGTAGAAATGGGGTGACAGGCACGTCGACAACAGGCAGGCTCAGTCACCACACAGCATCCCATCACTCACTCACCACGTCTTGAAGTCCACCACATCGTGTAGATCATAGCACGCCACCCCCACGGCATCGTAGCATGCGTCTTTGAGCAGCAGAGCCGGGGTGACAGGCACGTCAGCATCAGGGGAAGCAGGCGGGGGGCATGCCTCTATGCACTGCCGTAGCATGTCTATGAGCGCCGGGGATAGCACCTGATTGTGGGAAGGGGGGAGGGGGGAGAGGGGAGGGAGGAGGGAGGAGGGAAATAAGGTGAGTTCAAGCGTGCAGCAGAAGCGGGGTGACAGGCACATTCGCATCGGGGGAAGCAGGCGGGGGGCATGCCTCTTTGCACTGCCGTAGCATGTCGATGAGGGCTGGGGAGAGGACCTGATGATGGGCGGTGGCGCAAGGGGAAACGAGAGCTTCAGGTCCTCATTTACTGTGGTAGCCTGCTACAAGGAAAATTACTGTGAGTTCAATTTACCGTGTCTTGCATGTATGTCATGTCATCATACCATACCTCTTTGAATTGCTCGAACAGAAGCAGCAGCGCCTCAGCACTGGGCCGCAGCTTAGTCCTTCCACTGCACTGCTCGCTGCTTACAGGGAAACTACGACATAACTAGTAAAATGTAGCGCATCTGACTGCATGTCATTACCGTACCTCTTTGAATTGCTCGAAAAGCAGCAATAACAGTGCTTCAGCACAGGGCCGCAGCTTATCCTTCCACTGCACTGCTCCTTGCTCGTGATAGAACACCTCCGGGTCTGACCCCCATTCTTCCAAATCCGCTGCTGTCAGCACCAGGTAGCTGTCAGGAGAGACAGAGGAGGGACGCGGGTGAGGAGAGAAAGAGGGAGAGGTGGACAAGAGGGGTCTAGCAAAGCTGCAGTTTATCCTTCCACTGCACGGCGCCCTGCTTGTGACAGAACATCTCTGAGTCTGACCCCCACTCCTGCAGATCTGCTGCTGTCAGCACCAGGTAGCTGCGAGGAGAGTGAGGAGAGAAACGGGTGAGGAGAGAAAGAAGGACACAGGTGAGGAGGGAAAGAGGGAGAGGTGGAGAAGAGGGGACAAGGAGCGTCGCAGCTTATCCTTCCACTGCACTGCTTCCAGCTCGTAGAACACCTCTGGGTCCGACCCCCACTCCTCTTAGTCCCCTGCTGTCACCACCAGATAGCTGCCAGGAGGGGAACGGGCATAAGGAGAAAGAGGGAAATAGGTGAGGAGGGAAGGAGTAGATGTGGTGAGGTGACAAGAAGAGCTGGGGCTTGTCCTTCAGGCGTGCTCCTGCTGCACCGAGCCCTGCTCGTGAGGGAGCAGCTCTGGTGAGAAGAAGGGGCGCTCCACTCACCGTCGCACGAGCACGGCCCCAGCGTAACCACTTTCAACTGCGAAAAAAAAACCCTGCTGCCATGCCATCCCTAACTAAAAAAAAATACACATAGAAAGAACTCACCGCTACACGAGCACGCCTCCCTCCCAGCGTAACCACTTTCTCCTGCCAGAAAAAACCCTGCAGCTGCTGCCGGACCACCTTCAGTACCTTCCCCATAGCACATATAATTAGGTTATAAATAACTTACCGCTGCACGAGCACGCCTCCCAGCGCCGCCACTTTTTCCCACGAGAAGAACCCTTGCAGTTGCTGCCGCGATATCCGTGACAGAACTCAAAAAGTTCACATAGCACTCACCGTTGCACGAGCACACCCCCCAGCGTAACCACTTTCTCCCGCAAGAAGAACCCCTGCAGCTGCTGCCGGGCCATGCCTGACAGCTTCCCCCTCATCTCCTCCGCTGATGCCACTGCTGCCCCCACCACGTGCCCTGTGGGGTTCTGCTTGTATGCCACGCAGCGCAGCACGCTCTGCAGAAACAGCATACACTCTATCAGAAACAGGCCGTGGCTGGCAGCTGAAGAAGAGGCGGACGCGTCAGTAGCAGCGGCAGTGGCAGCAGCTGCGGCGGCAGAAGCGGGGGTTTGTAGACTGGTGGTAGCGGCAGCAGGGGAGGAGAGCGAGGGGGAGGAGGAGGTGGGGTCGGTGGTGGTGATTTGGGTGTAACAGAAGTCGAGGGTGGGCAGGAGGACGTTTTTGGAGGCGAAGGAGAACGGGTGCAGCTCGTGGGAGGCGACGAGCGTTTTGAGGAGCTTGACTGAGGCGCGGGCGAGGAAGGTGTGCAGCGGTTGCAGGGCTGGGAGCTGCTGCGAGATATTGCCTGCGCGGGAGCAGGGGTTAGAGCAGAGAGACGGGGGTGTGGGGAACGGAAGGGAACGGTTCATGCTATAGGGTATCAAAACACTAAAGGGTGCAGCTCGTGGGAGGCGACGAGCGTTTTGAGGAGCTTGACTGAGGCGCGGGCGAGGAAGGTGTGTAGGGGCTGCAGGGCTGGGCGCTGCTGGGAGATATTGCCTGCGCAGGATCAGGGAATTGGGCATGGAGGAGAGAGATAGGGGTGTGGGGAAGGAGTCGAGCGTTTTGAGGAGCTTCACTGAAGCGCGGGCGAGGAAGGTGTGGAGAGGCTGCAGGGCTGGGCGCTGCTGAGAGATATTGCCTGCGTGGGATCAGGGAATCGGGCATGGAGGAGAGAGATAGGGGTGTGGGGAAGGAGACGAGCGTTTTGAGGAGCTTGACTGCTGCGAGATATTGCCTGCGTGGGAGCAGGTCGTAATAGAGCATAGCACGGGGACAGGGTTGTGGGGAAGGGAATGATTTTCTTGCTCAAGGGGATCAGACAGACAGCCACAGATGCCGGAAAGGAAGGTGTGCAGGGGGCGTAGAGCTGGGTGCTGCTGCGAGAGATTGTGTGAGTGAGAGCAGGGAATGGAGCAGAGAGGCAGGGGAGAAGGGTGGGGAAGGAGAGGGATGGAAAATCACAGGCTTTGATCTTTCAAATCCCAGAAATCTACTCTCCACTTCGCTGTTCTTCTAAACGAATAAGGACTCACAGAGAGAGAGCGTCGACTCACAGAGAGAGAGCGTCGATTCACAGAGAGAGGGCGTCGATTCACAGAGAGAGAGCGTCGACTCACAGAGATAGAGCGTCGATTCACAGAAATAGAGCGCCGATTCACAGAGAGAGAGCGTCGATTCACAGAGAGAGAGCGTCGATTCACAGAAAGAGAGCGTCGACTCACAGAGAGAGAGTGTCGATTCACAGAAAGAGAGCGTCGACTCACAGAGAGAGAGCGTCGACTCACAGAGAGAGAGCGTCAACTCACAGAGAGAGAGCGTCGAAACAGAGAGAGAGCGTCGATTCACAGAGAGAGAGCGTCGACTCACAGAGAGAGAGCGACGACTCACAGAGAGAGAGAGCGTCGACTCACAGAGAGAGAGCGTCGACTCACAGAGAGAGAGCGTCGACTCACAGAGAGAGAGCGTCGAAACAGAGAGAGAGCGTCGATTCACAGAGAGAGAGCGTCGACTCACAGAGAGAGAGTGTGTCGACTCACAGAGAGAGAGTGTCGACTCACAGAGAGAAAGCGAGCGTCGACTCACAGAGAGAGAGCGTCGACTCACAGAGAGAGAGTGTCGACTCACAGAGAGAGAGCGTTGACTCACAAAAAAAAAAAGCGTCGATTCACAGAGATAGAGCGTCGATTCACAGAGAGAGAGCGTCGATTCACAGAAATAGAGCGTCGATTCACAGAGAGAGAGCGTCGATTCACAGAGAGAGAGCGTCGACTCACAGAGAGAGAGCGTCGACTCACAGAGAGAGAGTGTGTCGACTCACAGAGAGAGAGTGTGTCGACTCACAGAGAGAGAGCGAGCGTCGACTCACAGAGAGAGAGCGTCGACTCACAGAGAGAGAGCGTCGACTCACAGAGAGAGAGCGTCGACTCACAGAGAGAGAGCGTCGACTCACAGAGAGAGAGAGCGTTTGTGTACCTTTTCCAAAAAAAATAAAATTGCGAACAATGCCAAGTGGGTTGTTGTGTGGCGGGGAGAGATGTGGCTTACGGAAGTTGAGAAGCGATTGCGCTGCTTCAAGAAATGCGGGCACCACTTGTTCCAGTACCGGAACCTCCTGTAAAGGGGAAGCATGAAAATAAGAGGTGCACAGGGAAAGAGGAAAGGTAACTGCGTTTTCTCGCAATGTGTGACAATAATGGGCTGCAAAGCATTGCTTGTTTCAATACTCATCAATGTCAGCATTCTCCGTTCTTCCCAATACTTGAAAGTAATGAAACAAATATTGAGATGCCATTCCATATTCGTTGAAATTGCTTCCACGGTAGGAATCAAGGAGGATAAACGAGAGAGGGTAATAGGTTGCCGGCCAGTGATGGTGACAGACAGAAGGTGCTGAAACACACAAGAAGGCCCCCCACACCACGCACGCAGCGACTTACTTGCCTGAACGGATTTGAAGTCAGAAGGGAAACCAAACACGAGCATGCGACGGAGAGTCTTCACACACAGCAGCCACCGCTCACACAACAGCATCAGCGCCCCTCCTGCTGCCCCTGCTCCTGCTGCTGCTGCTGCTGGGTCTGACCCTCCTGCCTCAAGGGCGTTTAGTCCTTGAAACAGAGACCCTGTGTCTCTCACCCAGTGCGCCCAGGTGGGCTCAAACAGCTGGCTGGTCACCTGAGAAAAGGACAAAACAATGTTGGAGCAAGACAGGAGAAATTACAGAAAGGGATCTTAAAATGTCCTCTGCAACATAACCCTTGTGTTTGTATTGTCCTGAGAAAGGGAAAAAATGAGTAGTACGTACGTTCCAAACGAAAGGTGATATGTGAAACAGCACGTGCTACTTGCAAGTGGATGAAGGTATCTAGTCTGGCTCTTACCTGGGAAAAGGTGCGTTGGTCCACACTCAGGCGCTTAGTTGAGAGTTCCTTAAGGACGTGGTTTAGCACGAGATAGGTACGCTGTGTGAGCAGAGGGTCCTGTGTCTGAAGCTTCTGCAGGAGCGTGGGGAATAGCTCGGACCTGCCCTTGCATGCATGTGAGTATGCATGGGCGAATAGTGAATGGCACACATGAATGAGAGATAGCAATGAAAATAGAACAAGATAGGTGCGGTGGGTGAGAAGAGGGTCCTGTGTCTGAAGATTCTGCAGGAGCATGGGGAATACCACACATTGCCGTGCATTCCTGACTCACCATTCCCTGGGGTAGTCAATACGAGCGATCTTAGCAATCAGCACCGCCAGCTGCACGGCCACCTGGCTGTTCTCACACGCTACTAAGCCAAGGCCTAAAACACCCCACTTCACACCATTCACGCCCGTCCCTCACTCACCATTCCCTGGGGTAGTCAATACGAGCGATCTTAGCAATCAGCACCGCCAGCTGCACGGCCACCTGGCTGTTCTCACACGCTACTAAGCCAAGGCCTAAAACACCCCACTTCACACCATTCACGCCCGTTCCTCACTCACCATTCCCTGGGGTAGTCAATACCAGCGATCTTAGCAATCAGCACCGCCAGCTGCACGGCCACCTGGCTGTTCTCACACGCTACTAAGCCAAGGCCTAAAACACCCCACTTCACACCATTCACGCCCGTCCCTCACTCACCATTCCCTGGGGTAGTCAATACCAGCGATCTTAGCAATCAGCACCGCCAGCTGCACGGCCACCTGGCTGTTCTCACACGCTACTAAGCCAAGGCCTAAAACACCCCACTTCACACCATTCTCGCCCGTCCCTCACTCACCATTCCCTGGAGTAGTCAATACGAGCGATCTTAGCAATCAGCACCGCCAGCTGCACGGCCACCTGGCTGTTCTCACACGCTACTAAGCCAATGCCTAAAACACCCCACTTCACACCATTCTCGCCCGTCCCTCACTCACCATTCCCTGGGGTAGTCAATACGAGCGATCTTAGCAATCAGCACCGCCAGCTGCACGGCCACCTGGCTGTTCTCATCTGCAACTAAATCCAGCAGTCTCGCTCTCAGCACCGGCTTCTCCTCGTCTGATATGCCCCTGTGCGGATGAGGCAAGGAGTGTGTGAAGGAGACTGTGAGGAAGGGTGTGTGTTAGGGCTGTCTTAGCGATTAGCACAGCCAGCTGCACATCCACTTGACTGTTCTCATCCGCTACCAGATCCAATTCTTGCTCTCAGCACAGACTTCTCCTCGTCTGATATGCCCCTGTGCGGGAGAGGGAGGGTGCGAGGAGGGTGTGAAAGGGTGTGACGGAGGGTGTGAGGGAGCGTGGGAAGGTTGTGAGAGAGAGTGTGAGGGAGGGCGGGTGAGAGGCGGAACGGAGAGGATACTGGATGGTAGAAGGGAACAGGAAGACCTATGTGCTTATGTGCGAGTGTGACTCACTGTGTCTCTCGTCTCGCTCGCCGGTATCCGTTGATACTACTCTTGACATACACCGCGAGCCATCTGTTCTTGAAATAGACCACTGCCAGCCACCTGTACTTGATTAAATGAGGTGTGCTTATATGCGAGTGTGACTCACTGGGTCTCTCGTCTCGCCCGCCAGTATCGGTTGATGCTGTTCTTGAAATACACAGCTGCAAGCCACCTGGCTCCGCCCTTCTGATCCAGCTCCTTGCGCGATATGATCTCCTGCCGGCATACGGGACGGGAGGAGTTAGAGGAGGAAAAGATGAGAGGAGGAAAGATGGAGAGGGGATAAATGCGGGGAGGGGTGAGAGGGGATTGGGATGAAGGTTGATTGAGAGGCCCAAAAAACCCTCTTCTCATGATAACGCTACAAAGCTCTCACAAGAATGCGAATTCTTAGGCGTCTCAAAAAACAACACAACGGTAGAGATGGAATACGCACACATGACAAGATGCTGTCATGATAGCATGGTAGAGACGGCATGATCTTCAAGTATGGCATGATCTTCAAGCATGGCATGATCTTCAAGCATGGCATGATCTTCAAGCATGGCAAGACCTTCAAGCATGGCATGATATTCAAGCATGGCAAGATCTTCAAGCATGGCATGACAAGGATGCTTCAGAGCTGGGAAGGCAAGAGAGAAGAGACCACCATCTGCCGTACCAGGAGACATGAGCAGAACCCCACGCGGGTCTCGTACGCGTTAAGAGCCTGTTCCGCCTCTTTCCGTGTAGCCTCGTTAAGAGCTGCTTCTAACAGGTTGTAGATGGGTCCGGCATCTGCTGCTGTCAGCGCCATATCTCCTGCTCCGGCGAGTTAAGAGCGACTATGTGAAAGAACCTTAAGATGCTAAGCTGCAGCGTCCGCCGAACGATCAGACACTACAGCGGGAACCGGAATATGCAATGGCGCGGATGAAAACTCAGGAAATGCCTGCAAATGGTAAGATACTGTTCAGGGTGTGACTGAAACGAGCGCTCGTTAAGCACCCTCGGGGCTACACTGGCTAAACCACGTGTGTCTGAGCAAGGAACAGAAATTCGATCAAATTCCAATGTGACGGCGATAAAGGAATTTTCGTAAATCCGATCCGGGTACGCAGTGGTACTAAATTTGACTCGAAAGATCAAATGACACGTTGAAAGGAGAACACGATGTCCGTTTGTCCGATGAGGGAGACAAAGGAGAACACGTCAAGGCCAACTACACGAGCCGTACCGGTAAGAGAATGAGTGGAGAAGTGACAGGAATGCGGTAAGAGGGGCCAAGCGTGAGATATGGGTTGTAGTGGGGCGAGCTAGCAGAAATGGAGGCTCTGAGATGGTCCAGCATGCCTGATGATCATCACTAGTCATGGTGGGTCGATATACATGACAAATGCTAAAATATCACTCACATTTTTCCAACTGGATTTTTACTACACCGTAGAGGCTGGTGTATACAATATAGGCACTCACTATGGAAGTGATCGAACTTGACGGGTTCCCTAGCTCGGGTACGAGGCTAGTGCGGAACCTCATGGCACACCTCAGGGTGGTTCGGTAACGAGAGATAGGGCAGGTGATTGGCGGACGGTGTTGCGGTCTGGAGGGGCTGGTGGTGGCGGCCTCAGGGGGGGCTTGGTTTGTGTGGATGTCCGGGTGTGAAAACTTTGCTGCCGAGCCGAGCCGAGCAAGCAAACACAGCTGAGGTAATCCCAAGGTCTCATCTCTCTCCCCACATCCCTAGCCTCAGGTCCCTCGGTTCGGAGAAATGCGTACCCATGAGCAGTAGTAAATCCGGGCCTGACCAAAATCCTGCTTGGTCTGTCGATGAGTCGCGCCAGCAGCAAATCCGAACCGAACCAAAATGAGGACCAGAGCAATAACCACCTACTATTTTAGACTGCAGCTGTACTAGAGCGCAGCCAGCTCAGTGTGTCTGTAGCAGGTTCAGATGATGTCGTGTGTTGATTCGTCGTATTTATGCGAAGAAAAACGAATCGCCTGTTGCGAGCTTCGGAAAGTTGGCAAGCCGCGTTTTCTGTTGGGGTAAATTTATCAGATGGAAGCACAGGTAAGTGAAAGCATGCTTTCAGTGCGGATGACACCTACACTAGACTCAGAGAGCTATTAATCCGCGGAAAAAAATCATAAGGCTTGAGGTGCATTGGGGAAGGCCTCTCAAGGCAAAATGCGTACAGTAAGGAGCTTACTAGAAAGCATGCGTACATCCCAAGCCCGCGGCAATATCTTAGTAGAGAAGAGATATTTCAGTAGAGGAGTCGACTCCTCCTTTCCGCGGGTCGCGCTCTTGCTCCAATGCGCGTATTGTTTTTTTCCGCTTACGCCTTTTCTCTTGCGCCAGCTTTTCGCAGCGTTCCGCTTTAGCAGGTTCTCGATCCCCCTTGGTTAAGTTCGCGCTATTCTGTTGCCGCCTTGTGAGCAGGAGGGGCAGGAGGAAGGCAAATCGACGGGCAAGAAGCACAAAGATGGGAAGAAGAGCCATCGGGTCCGTCCACGTGTCCTCGCATTCTCATCCAGTTCATGTTCATTACGCACTCCTTTTTCTCCCCAGTTTCATTTCACAATCTCTCGCACCCCCGTTACAACTCCCTTTCCTCGTGCCAGTTACAGCCTCTCCATCCACTCCCATTGACTGCTAAACTATTGGCGCATTAAATGCATAATACCCACATCTTCTCCTTCCTCCATCCCTTCCTCCATCCCTTCCGCTCCCCACTCCCTCCCCTCCCCGCCCTTCCCCTCCCTCTCTCCCCCCCCCCCCCCCCCTCTTCCTCCCCCCCCCTCTCCTCCCAATCCAACCCCTTTTTCCCCGTTCACCCTTGTCCCACCCTTTTCGACCCACCTCTCACACTACCCCGCTCACTCAATCCGCTTATTTTCTCCAGAAAGAGGCATTGGAGGAGATGCGGGGGGATGTAGAGCGGTTGAAAGGCGAACTTCAACAAGCAGGGGAGCAGCTTGCAGGGGCAGAAAAGGCCAGAGCCGATTTATTGGTCAAGTATGAAAGCGTGGAGAGAGAAAAGGCTGCTTTGGAGGGGCGTTTGGGGGAGAGGGAGAAGGAAAGCGAGAAGGAGAGAGAGGAACTGATTAGAAGGTTGGAGGAGTGTGAGAGGAGGTTGAAGGAGGAAGAGGAGGGGAGGAGGGAGGAGAAGCAGAAACGGAAAGAGGAGAAGGAGAAGCGGAAGGAGGAGGAGGGGAAGCGGAAGGAGGAGAAGAGGAGGAGGAAAGAGGCGGAGGAGGAGAAGGAGAGAGTGGAGGAGGAATTGACACGTGTCAAGCAGCGATTGGAGGAACTGGAGGCTAAATGTGGGAGGATGGAGAGGGGAAGTGCTGGGCCGAGAGAACTACTACCTGATGCAGAGGAGGGGAGTGGATTATTGGAGGAAAGCAGCAGAGATGAGGGGAGTGAACCAGCGGATAGAAGGGGGGGTGAAGGGGAGGACAAGAGTAGGTCAGTGGAAAGAAGAAGCAGTGAAGGGGCGGACGGGAGCAGTGTAATTGTTGACAGGAACAATGGGGCGAATGGTAAGGTAACTGGACTTGAAGATGAACAAGAGGTAAGGTCACGGCTGGCAGAGTGCGAAGTGCGTGCAACGAGAGCGGAGGGAGAGGTGGAGGCTTTGAGGCGTGAGCTGGAAGCTGTGAATGCCACGCTGGCAGATACAAGTGCCAGGTTGGCAGACCCGAGTGCTGAGCTGGCAGGTATGAATGGACGGAGTACAGACGCAGGCGCGTGCGTGGATGATTTGCGCAGAGAAAGGGAAGTGGGGGACAAGGGGAATGGGGAGGTGGGACGGAGAGAGGAGGTGGAACAGAAGTTGAAGGAGGCGGAAGCACAGAGGTATGCTGCTGAGAAACAGAGGGAGGAGGCGGAAATACGAAGAGAGAAGGCGGAAAGAGAAAGTGATGAGGCAGAGAGGCGAAAGGAGGAAGCAGAGAGACAATGGAAGGAGGCGGAGAAGGGACGGGAGGAGGCAGAGAGACAAAGAGAGGAAGAGGCGAGACAGAAGGAGGATGCAGAGAGGCGAAGAGAGGAGGCAGAGAGACAATGGAAGGAGGCGGAGAAGGGACGGGAGGAGGCCGAAGAGAGGGCGAAGGGCCTCGTGAGTCGCCTGAAACCTGCAGAGGGGGCAGCAGGAGGCACTATTAGTGTGAATGAGAGCAGTGCGCGAGGCAGGGGGAATGGAAGGGAGGAACATGAGGGGAGCTGGAAAGGGGGTGGGAGGGATAGTGGGGGAGACAACATGGACGCAGAAATGGGGCTTCTCATAGAGCCTCAAAGGGCGGAAGCGTTGCTTACAAAGACAGAAACGTCGCCTGGAAAGGCGGGCATGGAAGCAGAGATTGAGTACCTGCGCAACCTGAGGGAAGATCTAGAGAGGGAGCTCGACTCGCTGCGTAATCAGCTTGACTGCAAGCCACAGCCCCAGCCTGCTGCTGTTGATTCAGACAACCCTTTGAAGGTGGGGGGCGGGCAGCAGAGTAGGCAGCAGCCTAGCTCTAGCATCAGCAGCTGTGGCTGCACCTGTTGCAGCAGCTGCAGCTGCAGTTGTAGCGTGGAGCAGCAGCAGAAGCAGCAGCAGCACCAGGAGCATCGCAGAAGCAGAAGCAGAGATAGAGCGACTGCAAGCCGTGAGAGGAGACCTAGAGAGAGAGTTAGAGGGCTTGTATCTAGAGCTGCAACGGGAGCAGGAACTCTCAGCCGAAGCAAGCCTTTTGGCTGAGAAGGAGTGGGAGCGGCGGCAGGAGGCAGTTAAAATGCTGTCTCAGTTGGAGAGGCAGCTAGGGGAGGCGTTTGGAGGGGCTGTGGCGGAAGGGGGGGTGGTGGTGGATGCGAATGGAAGGCCGATGTCACCGCTAGTGGGGAGTTTGAGTGGGTCGGGAGCGGTGGGGAGGAATGGATGGGGAGGGGGCGTGGGAGGGGTGTTTGTTTCGCCACTTGGCGGGCCGCGATTGGAGGATTCTGGTGGGGGGGATGGGGATAGCTGGCCGTATTTATACGGTAACGAGGTGGAGGAGGGAGGGAATGGGGGAGTTGAGGAGGGGGAGATGAGAGGAATGAGAAGGGTGCTGTTTGGAATAGAAGAGCATGGGGAGGAGGAGGGTACAGCAGCAGGAGAAGAAGAACTGGCTTCTTCGCTTGCCATAGCAGCCACAGGCACAGCAGCAAGTGTAGAGCGGCTGTGTATAGAGAGGGAAGAGATTCACAAAAGGGCAGGGGAAGATGAGGGGAAGAATGGGGATGGAGATGGGGATTTGGGTGAGATTTGGAGTGAAGAAGATGAGGAAGTGTTTGAGGTGAAGCGTGGGGAAGGGGAGAGGCAGGGAGGGAAAGAAACGGAGGAGGGAGAGGACAGGGAAGAGAGGAGGATAGAGCAGAGTCGGCGGATGGACTGGCCTAGGCCACTCACGGATAGTAGACTATATAGTGTGGATCCAAGTCTCATAGATGCACACGACTCTGAGCCAAGTCACACCTGCAGTTCCCGGCCTCTGCTGCACATTCACCCTCCCCCTCGCACGTTCTCTAGAGCCACATCTGATTTAGTGACTTATGTGAGAGACGCTAAGGCTGCGCTGGGTCAGCCCTCCTCCCCAGGGGAAGACGAGTTCTTTAGCACCAAGCTGCCTGAGCTGAGAAGGAGAATGACGGGCGAGGGGCCTCAAAACTCGCCTCGTAAGACCTCTTCTGGGGAAGACGAGTTTTGTAGCACTAAGTTGCCGGAATTGCGGAGGAGAATGACTGGTGAGGGGCCGTATAAGTTGTCGTCTTCTCCTCGTGAAGACGAGTTTTTTAGCACTAAGCTACCAGAATTGCGGAGGAGAATGAGTACCTTTTCGCCTCTGCACTCACCCCTGGCTCATCTAAGAGGGATGCATTTGGATGGGGAAGCTGAGGTGGTGACAGCAGCACCAGCAGCAGCAGCAGCAGCAGCACCGGATAAGCCCCGTCTTGCTAGTGTGGCGGAATTCAGTGGCGATGATAAACACGAGGAGGGGGAAGCAGCAGAGGGGGAGACGGAAGGGGAGAATTTTGAGGCGCCTCAAAAGGCGAAAGGGGAGAGTAAGGGATTAGCCCACTGGCATGGGCAGGAGCAAGGGGATGAAGGAGGAGGAGCAAGGAGTATCGCGGCAGCAGCTGCTGCTATGGAGAATGGTTCGGTTGAAGCTGACGGCATAGACAAGGAGAGGGCGAACGAGGATGTGAGGCAAGGAAGCCAAGGCTTGCCTCACAGCAGCCAAGGCAGAGCTGCTGACACGGCCCACACCAACCCAGACAGAGCTCACAAAAGCGTAGAGACAGCTCACAGCAGCCCAGGCACAGCCCCTGCCATCGTTCCCCCAATCACCAACAACACCTTCTCATTCACAGCCCCGGCAAGCCCCCATCCCGGCCATATTGGCTCTTCTCTAAGCAAGGCCTTCCGCCGTGCTGCCACCTACTCTGGCCGAACCTATCCTGAACAAACCCGGTCCTCCTCCTCTACCCGGACCACCCTCCTTTCCTCCCACTCTGCTCGTGACATTTCCTATTATGAACGGCCCTCCTCTCCCAGTCCCACCAGCAAAGAACCCCCCTCTCCCAACACCAAAGGACCCTCTGCTCCCACCACCTCGTTTTTGGCGCTTGATGAGGCTTCTTCTCCCAATGCAGCCCGAGCAGTGGCTTATTCAGGGCAGCCCTTTTCCTATGCCAGTCAGATGGCCCGTGCTCCTAGGGAGGTGCAGGATAATCCTTCAGGGGGTTTTAACAGAGCGGTTTCCTACACAGGGGGTTTCAACAGAGCGGGCTCGCACTCAGGTGCTTTCAACAGAGCAGGGTCTTACTCAGGTGGTTTCAAGAGAGCTGGTTCAGATGTGGGGCTGCTGCTGACCTTCGGGGGACCATCAGGGGGGGAGTTTTCAGGAACAGAGACGACAACAGTTGGAGCAGATGACAGGGAAGACTTGCAAGAATCTGGGAGAGGAGAAGAAGAGGAGGTGGTGGAGGAGTTAGAAGATGTTGGGTTGGCAGATGAAGACTATAATTGGGGTGACTCTATTTACAGTAAGCAGCAGCTTTTAGCTAAGCACCAGACTGATTTTCTCCATGTGTTGCTGCAGATGCTACAGCTGGCAGTGGTGAAGCGGGAAAGCGAGTTAACAGCAGCATCTGCCGCCGCTACAGCTGCTGCTACAGCCGTTTCGGCTGCCGAGAGGGAGAAAGCGGAGTGGGAGGTGGAGCAGGTGGTAACAGCAGTGTTCAGGGAAGTGCATAACGTGTTACATGTGAATGGCGTCGGCAGGGTGAGGAGGAGATTCCACGGAGTGGCTAAGGAAGGGAACGCAGCAGCAGTGGCTGCAGCTGCAGTGAAAGAGGATTTAGAGCTTTTGGTCCGGGCAGTTGAAGCTAAATCTCGGGCAGCCATGCGAAGAAATGCGGCTGGTCTGGTCCCTCCTGCTCCCAGACGGCTTGTGAGGGATGGGAGTGGGAGTGGCGGGGGAAGAGGAGTAGAAAAAGCTGGAGGAGGAGGGTGGGGGGTCAGCAGCGGCAACGGCATGTGGAATATCAGTCAGAGTCTTCAGTCGGCTGCTCTGGCTATAGCTCGCTCTCCCTCTGTTGCTGCTCCCTCTGTTGCCAGTACACCTCCCATGAGTCGATCCGTGTCAGCTGCAGAAGCTGCTTCTCTTGTCGGGGCACACAATGCTGCACTGAGTATCTACAGAACAGCTTCGGTGGCTACTACTGAAGCCTCCACTGCTGGTAACACGCCCGTTGCGCATGCGGTTACCATCGCCCGAACCTCGTCCGTAGCCTCGGGATTCTCTACTGATGGTAACACGCCTGTGGCTCGGGCTGTAGGGGATATGACAGGAATGGCCCATGGGGGAGCGGTTCAGATGGGTGGTGTGTCAGTAGGAATGGGTGGAGAGCGGTCGAGCGCTCTGACCATCTACAGGACGCCGTCCATGGCTGAGCTTTCAACTACTGGTAACACTCCGGTTGCGCACGCGGTTACCACGGCATTTGCCAGTGGGTTCAATGTATCTGGTCTCCTCGGAATGGCTTCGGCAAGGCTAGCTGCTGCTGCTACCTCTGCTGCTACTGCTGCTGCTTCTGCTGCTGCCACTCCTGGTGCTGCTGGTGCTGCTGGTGCTGCTGGTGCTGCTGGTGCTGCTGCTGCTGCTTCTTTCTCTACATCTGGTAACACTCCTGCTGCTTCCACTGCTGGTAACACTCCCATTGCCCAAGCCTTGGGTAGTCCAAACCGGTTTGCTGACAGTCGAGTGTCGCCGGTAACCACCCCTGTAACCGCGGATGCTTCGACTGGCGGTAGCACGCCTGTCGCACATGCGGTTACCACTAGCGGCGGCGGTAACACTCCCGTTGCACGCCCGGTGAGACTAAGGGAAGGGGAGAGGGCGGAGCAGGAAAGGAGGGCAGAGGAGGAAGAGGAGGATGATAGAAAGGAGAGAGGGAAAGAGAGGGAGATGGAGGAGGTTTTGTTTGTGCGGGAGGTGGTAGCAGGGGATATGGTGGTGCACCACCATGTGGACTCACTCACCCGATCTTTAACTCCTGCTACGCCCAATCCCCCCAATGCCTTGGGGCTGACATTTTTGTCTCCTCGAAGAGCGGGAAATGTACACCACCATGTGGATCCACTCACTCGCTCCTTCAGCCCTGCCGCTTATGAGAGCTCTCAAAAGGGATTCGGTGCCTTTGACCTGACATCAGACTCCCCTAGCGTGTTGACACCAGGAACCAGGCATGGCGAAGGGAAACAGTCCTTTATTCGACCTCGGATCAGGCAAGGAGAAGGGGAGCAGCCCTTCTTTCATCCTCAGATCAATCCTGGGATCAGGCAGGAAGAGAGCGATCGGAGCGTGATACAAGACGATCCGTTGCACGTGCTGAGGCGTGATGCACGGGGAAGCTGTGAGGCAGGTACCCGGCTGGATAGAAGGCGAAACCAAAACCTGGAGGAGGAATACCAGCAGCCAGCTACCCGGCTGGAAGCTTACCCCTTGCCTGCTCGCCCCATGACCGCCGTACCTAGAGATAGGACCCACCACACAGGAGCAGCTTGTTTTGATTCGACTCAAAACATGACCACTCTCGCTAGTGAAAGGGCCATCTACGCAGCAGCAACGGATGGTGGTACTGGCAGGCCGGATTCTGAGCCGGCGAGAAGAGCGATTGGGGGCGTGCGTAGTGGTGGGGGTCGCCAAGGACCGCTTGCCATTGCCATGGGGGCTCATGATTCACATGGAGCAATGCGGCTGGATAGAGAAACCCCTGGAGAACCCCAGCTGGATAGGTGGAGAACTCAAAGCTTGGAGGAGGAATTTCAACAGCCAGCTACCCGGCTGGAAGCTTACCCCTTGCCTGCTCGCCCCATGACCGCCGTACCTGGTAGCAGGTCGGCTTTCGTGCCGGCTAGAAGAGCGGTTGCGTCTGAGGCAGTTCTTGAGATGCCTCAGAAGCCTACTAGAGGAACATTCGCTTTTGAGGCGCCTCATCGGGTGGATGCCCACGCTCACCCCTTGCCTGATCGGCCTGTGACCGCTCTGCCGAAATCCAGGTCTACTTTTGAGCCGGATCGAAGAGCAATAGCTTATGGGACGACTCTTGAGATGCCTCAGAAGTCGACTAGAGGAGCGGCTGCGGCTGCTGTTGACGCGCCTCAACTGGTGGATGCATCGATTCCCGGTCGAGTTCTAAGGCACCCCTTGCCTGCTCGCCCCATGACCGCTCTGCCTAAATCCAGGTCGACTTTTGAGCCGGCTAGAAGAGTGACTGGGGGCGGGGCTGGTAGTGGGAGTGGGAGGCCGAGTGCCCTGCTGTACAGACCTGGGGGTGAGAGAGGAGGAGTGGGGGGTAGGGGAGGACGAGGAAGGGGAGGAGGAGGTGGAGAGAGGGCAAGGCAAGAGGAGCAAGGTATGGGAATTGTGAGATTACAAGGACGGACCGACCCAGCTGTTTTGGCCCTAGACTCTGCTGCATTGGACCGATCCGCTCGAGATGGGACCGAGGCTAGTGGTTTGGCAAGTAAGCGGCAGGTTCGGCAAGGGAGCGTTTGGGACGATGCGTCTATTTCTGAGGCGCCGCAGAAAGGGAGTGTTCGAGATAGTGTGGTGGAGACTTTGATTTCTGGAGCTGCAGCAGCAGCCCAGGGTACTGTTAGAGAGATTGTCTCTTTTTGGGCAGCGGGTCATGCAGCTGGGGCTGTAGCAGGGGCAACAGGTGTTGCAGCAGGTCATGAGTCTGTAGCAGCAGGAGCGGGTACTGTAGCACTGCCACGGAGGCCTGCTACAGCTGCAGCGGGCGGCAGGGTTCGTCCTGTTGGGGGCTGGGACGTGGGAGGGAGAGGAGAGGGTTTGGGTGGAGTGGGGATGGGTGATAGGGAGGGAAGCAGGGAACAACCGTGGGGCAGCAGGGCACAGGTTAAAGAGGCAGGGAGGCAGATGGAAAGGGAGCATCCGTGGGGGGGGTCATATCGAGATAGACGAGGTTTGGGCGATAAAGGCGGGGCGGAGGAGAAGAGAGGTGGGGCAGATGTTTGGATTCTTGAGGAAGAGGAGGTGGAAGGGGAGGAGGGTAAGGAGGAGGACGAGGAAAGTGGTGAAGGGAATGTGCGTGTGAAGCATGAGATTGGACCGCAGCAGCAGCAACAGCGGCAGCAAAAGCAGGAAAAACATTCATCCGCTGCCGCACCGGGACTCTTTGCAAGTTTCCTGCCCAAGTCAGCATCCGTCAGTCACGTTCGACGGGCCAGCATTCAGATCTTCGATTCGCTCACGCACCTCACCTTTGGCTCTTCTGCTGCTGCTGTGCCTGCTGCTACAGCCACTGCTACAGCCGCTTCCACCCCTGCTACAACTGCTGCTGCAACCGCTGCTACACCTGCTGCTTTAACTGCGGTTGCAGAAGCAACCACGACAGTTGTTGCCATCGCTGGTTCTGCTGACTCTGCTGCTGCTGCTGCTGCTGCTGCTGCTGCTGCTGGTGTTCCAGTCACAGCAGATGACACAGCGGGACCTTCACATTCCCCGTTGCTTTGTCCGACCGGGGTTGTAGCAGCTGTGGCAAGGGCTGCTGCTACTACCCTTGCAGCTGCTACAGGTGTTGGCGCTGGGACTCATGCTGGTGCACCAGGTGCCAGCAGTGCTGTTTTGCCAGGTGCTTTGCCAGGTGCTTTTTCAGGTGCTTTTCCGGGTAGATCTGGGCCATTGGTTTCCCCAAAAGGCAAGCCTCATCACGGGATCGTGAGTGTGGGGAGCTTTGTTGAGACGGAAACAGGGGTTTCGGAATGGCTGGTTGGAAAGGTGGAGACGTTGACATGGGCGGGGCAGAGAAGGGGAGAGGAAGAGAGGAGGGTGGTGTTGGAATGGACTCAGGAGTTGGAGGAGGAAGGGGAGGAGGAAGAGAAAGCGTTGAAAAAGAGAGAGAGGGAGAGAGAGGAGGAGAGGAGGAGGAGGGTGGAGGAAGTGAGAAGGAAGATGGAAGCGGCTAGTGAGGAGAGGAGGAGGAGGGAAGAGCAGGAGAAATGTGGGGTTGTTTCTGCAGGGGAGCAGCGGATTGATCAGCGGATTGAGGAGCAAGAAAAGAGGGGCGGATTGGGTGTTGCGGCTGGAGAAGGAGAGGAAAGGAAAGGAAGAGTGGAGGAGCAAGAGGGCAAAGTGGAGGAGCAAGGGGGCAGAGAGGAGAACCTGGAAGCAGGCAAGTCTTCCCAGAGGCGTGGTGGATCAGGCAAGTCTTTGAAAAAGACTCCAGGGACCGTGGTGACTTTTGAGGCGCCTCAAAAAGAGAAGCAGGCAAGTGTTTCGGGGTTTGTGGTCACGGAAGAGAGAGATTTGAGTTCAGTGGGGCGTGGTGTTGAAGAGGTGGTCCTGGTGCGACGAGGTTCGATGAACGGGGAGGCGAGGGAAAGTGAGAGCTCGAGTGAAGGAGAGGAAGGGTGGAGTGATATGGAGGAGGAGGAAGAGGAAGGGGAGGAAGAGGAGGATGAAGCATCGTGGAGTGCTGGTGATGATAATGGAGATGCTAATGGCGAGGATGCTGATGCCGGGGCTGATAAGGAGGATGCAGGGGGAAAGGAGAATGAGGAGAAAGGGAGGCATGGGGAGGAAGGGAAGAAACAGGAGGAAGGGAGGAAAGAGGAGGAAGGGGGGAATGAGGACGAAGGGAGGAATGAGGACGAAGGGAGGAATGAGGACGAAGGGAGGAATGAGGACGAAGGGAGGGAAGTGGTGGAAGGGATGAAAGAGGAGGAAGTTGAGAAGGTAGTGGCGGAGAGAGAAAATGACTCAGAAGAGATTGACAAGGTGGAGGGGGGGAGAGGGGGGAAGGGGGGAGCTAGAGATGCTGATGCTGAAGGTGAAGGTGATGATGATGCTGAGGAATTGTGGAGTGATGTTGATGTTGATAGCAATGATGCTGGTGACGAGGATGGGAGGGAACGAGGCAATGAGGGGGAGGAGGAGGGGTGGAATGAGAAGAAGGATGGGGCGGGAGAGCATGAGGAGATATGTGTTGTTGAGGTGCCTCAGAAGAATGAGAAGGAACGGAGTGAGAAGGAGGAGGGAAGGGAAGAGGACGAGTGGAATGGGGTTGATGAGGATGATGAGGGGGAGGAGGGGGAGGAGGAGGATCGAGCAGAAGAGCAAAACGAAGAGTCTGTTTTTGAGGTGCCTCGACAGAACGAGGAGGGGCAGAGTGAGAAAAAGGAGGGAGGGAAGAGGATGAGTGGAGTGGGATTGATGAGGAGGATGCGGAGGAAGAGTATCAGCTGAAGGAGCAAAAGGAAGGGTCTGTTTCCGAGGTGCCTCGAACGATCGGGGAAGGACGGAGTGAGAAGGAGGTTGAAAGGGAAGGGCAAAAAGAAGAGGGGCTTCAAAAGAGCGAGGGACAGAGTGAGAAGAAGGACGGGAGGGAAGGGGATGAGTGGATTGGTGTTGAAGAGGAGGATGCTGAGGAGGAGGATCGGGCAGAAGAGCAAAACGAAGAGTCTGTTTTTGAGGTGCCTCGACAGAACGGGGAGGAAACAAGTGAGAAGAAGGAAGGGAGGGAAGAGGATGAGTGGAGTGGGGTTGATGAGGAGGATGAAGGGGAGTATCGGCAGGATGAGCAGCATGAGAAGTCTGTTCCTGCGGTGTGTCAAAAGAACGAGGACGGAGAGAGTAAGAAGGAGGTTTGGAGGGAAGAGGAAAACCAAGAGGTGTCTCAAAAGAGCGCGGAGGAAAAAGATGAGAAGAAGGATGGGAGGGAAGAGGACGAGTGGAGTGGGGTTGATGAGGAGGATGAAGGGGAGGATCGGCTGGAAGAGCAAAACGATGAGCCTGTTTCTGAGGTGCCTCAACAGGACGAGGGAAAGAATGAGAAGAAAGATGGGAGGGAAGAGGACGAGTGGAGTGGGGTTGATGAGGAGGATGAAGGGGAGGATGGTTTTGATTCTGGTGATAGCTTGGGGAGTGAAGGGGAGGAGAGTGGGAGTGGGGAAGGAGGAGAGAATGGGGTGAGTGATGTGGACAGTGAGAGTGGGAGTGTGAGTGGGGGTGTGAGTGGGAGTGAGGTTGGGAGTGGGAGTGGGAGTGGGAGTGGGAGTGTGAGTGTGAGTGGGAGTGGGAGTGGGAATGGGAGTGAGAGTGAGGGTGAGAGTGGGAGTAAAGTGGAGGAGAGCACTCTAGATATGAGCAGTGTTGGTACCATTGAGCTGGAGGGAGAGAGTGAGGAAGAAGAGAGTGAGGCACGAGGGAGCGAGGAGCGGGGGAGTGAGGTGAGGGAGAGTGAGCGAGTGAAGAGTGAGAGGGAGAAGAGTGAGGGAGGGAAGAGTGAGAGGCGGAAGAGTGAGGGAAGGAAGAGTACAGAGCAACGGGAGCCAGATGAAAGAGATGTGGGATGGAGCAATCAGGATTATGCAAGCAAGGACAAGGTCACTGATACTCTTGATACTCCTGGGATTAGCACAGCCGACGAAAATATGAAACTTGGAAAGATAGAGGGAGACCACGATACTCTCAAGGTTTCTATAGCCATTGAAAGAGGAGGGGACCACAATGATGCCATCTCTCCCAGAAAAGCCGTGTCAAAGCCTGCAGCTGACGTGGCGGATCGGGTTGCTGTTGTGGCTGAATCAGTTCACGTGGATGCGAGTGCTGATGTGGAAAGCGCTGGTGTGGAAGACACTGACGTGGAAGGCAATATTGTGGAGGGTGCTGACGTGGATGGCGCTGATGTGGATGGTGCTGACGTGGAAGGCAATAATGTGAAAAGCACACCAGCTGGTTCTTTCAGCTCAGTCAACTGTTCAGCGGATTTTGCCGAGCCAGAAACTGGCACTTGAGCCGACTGAAACGAGGTGAACGGAAGGACAACAATCAAACTGGTGGGAGCGATGTAGCAGAGATTCGAAAAAAGGTACCGTATGAGAGGAAACGGGTTAGGGTATGTACGGGCAGCACAGCAGGAAGGAGATGAGAATGCTCTAGAAGGACCATAAGGAGGGGCGATGAGTATGTATGTACGTGTGTGCTGTCAAAGAAAGCTTACGCGGAGGGTCACAGGAAGGGAGCCACGTCTGAGAATGCTTAAAACTACACATGTTTTTTCGTGCTGTTCAAGATGCTTACGCGGAGGGTCACAGCCAAGGGGAGGGGATGTACAAAGGCATCAAAACAAGACCATGTACGGTAAGTTAACATTTCCAGTATCATGGATGCTTTCCTGTGTTAAGCATACGGTAGCTGGTTCTTGAGTAGGCGGCCTTGCTGTAACCCTTCAGGTACACCGCCCTGAGTATAGTTTCAATATGCTCTAAAATAGGTACGCTGTAAATCATGTAGCACTCACCCATGTGTATTATCGTGGGTTTAGTGACCATCTAGGTATCTATCAGCTTTGACGATTTGTATCGTTCTTATGGTATATTGTGTTTCCCCCATTTTGGATTGTATCATGTAACCTGTAGCCTGCAGCCTGTAGCCTGGGGAATCGAGGGAGGAACTATGCAGCTTTGTTCTGTTGTGCCTGCCATTCAATATATATTTAACGAGTCACACAACAGGATTATCTGGCAATACCAAGTTCGCCTTAAAAAAAAAAAAAAAAAAAAAAACATGCACCCCATGCAACAGGAATACCAGCTTGTGCACAGCTGCTTGCTGTTCGCATCAGTAAACCCTGGGCAAGTTTACTCTCTTGTTTAGATGTTGACTTTCTGTGGCCTGCCTTGCTGATTTACTTTACTTTGTTTGAATACCAGTACACGCCCTTGGGCCCATCTGCATCAGGAGCAACCTGCAAGAGAGGGAGAAAAGGATGGAGGAGGGTGGGGAAGAGAGAACGCGAGGAAGAAAGTATGGGATGCTTAAGGAAACAAGGAGGCAAGATATGATGAAACGCGCAGGGGAGGAAAGTGATGGAGTGGGCAATTAGAGCAGTAAGGCCTTGAGAATGGGCTTGATGGCCCATATGGCCCCCTCTTTTGAGACGCCTATAGAATAGTCACTATTACGATGTTGACAGGGATTGGTACTCACACAGACGCACTGTGACACCTCCCGCCAGAGCGCCTTCACGATGGGAGTTCCGTCAAACTGGTAGTAGTCCTTCAGGATGGGCTTGATGGCTCGGGTGGCCTCCTCCGCATGGTAGTGCGGCATGGTGGAGAATATGTGATGCGCCACATGTGTGTCCGCGATGTGATGATGCACTGTGATTTGGTGGGGAAGGAAGAGGGGGGGAGGGAATAGAGCAGAAATGGTGCGGGTCAGGTGGTCACGAGAGGGCATGGTGGACAATATGCGATGCGCCACGTGGGTGTCCGCGATGTGATGATGCACTGGTGGTGGTGGCGAGGTGATGGGGAGTTGGGGGGGAGGGGGGAACACAGCAGGAATGGTGTTGCTCTGCTCAGTAAATCAAGCGGTGGCATGGTGGAGAATATTTGATGTGTCACATGGGTGTCTGTGATGTGATGATGCACTGGTGGTGGAGAGGGGGGGTTGTGGTGGTGGAGAGGGGGGGTTGTGGTGGTGGAGAGGGGGGGTTGTGGTGGTGGAGAGGGGGGGTTGTGGTGGTGGAGAGGGGGGGTTGTGGTGGTGGAGAGGGGGGGTTGTGGTGGTGGAGAGGGGGGGTTGTGGTGGTGGAGAGGGGGGGTGTGGTTGGTGGAGAGGGGGGGGGTTGTGGTGGTGGAGAGGGGGGGTTGTGGTGGTGGAGAGGGGGGGTTGTGGTGGTGGAGAG